AACTGTTTAAGGGTTAAAGACACAGAAAATTTCTAACTTAAGTCCTGGCAGTTGTCAGGTCAGTAAAGAAAGATGGCTTTGTTTCAATGGTTAGTTTGAACTTTGTGGAGATAGGCAAAATTTCTTTTTTTGTCTTCTGGTGTGGGCAGGGTTTAAGATTCAACAGCGAACCTTTAGCTGCGTTCTCAACTCCCTTGCACCAGCCCACTCTCTCCCTTCCCTCTCACGTGGCAAATCAGTGAACAAAGTGGCCAGTGTTTGTCTCTCTCTCTCTCTCTCTCTCTCTCTCTCTCTCTCTCTCTCCTCTCGCTCCCCCCCCCACCCAGGGTGGAAATCTTTAGCCATTAGACTCCAAAAATTCCGCTGTTCTAGGAAAAGATATCTGTCAAAAGCTTAACTGGAGAAAAATCTCATGTAGAGTCAGTTCCAAAAGCCTGTACAGAAATGCAGCTGCGGGGGCAGGCAGAAGGCAGCACCCAGGGTTCTGGGAGAGATCACTTCCAGCCCTCATCTGTTTCTTTTTCCTCTGCATTTCTAAAGTCAGTGCCTTGGCTGGAGGGTGTGGCTGGGGCTCCAGAAATTCACCCAAAGTACTATTTGTTCTTGGAAATGTTACACTTAATTTTTTGGTCCCAATCTCAGGAAAGAAAAGATCTTTGTGAAAGAAAAAATAAAGCAACAAAATGCACCAAATGCAGGCATCTTTGTCTCCCATGACTAGGGTTTCAGATCAGTTAGCGTTGATATCAGCAAAGAAAGCAGAAACCTGAGAGGTCATTTGGAAGCAGTTTCCAGAATGTTTTCTGGGAGGCGAGATGGGAAACAGATCTTTTAACATTGACTAAAGTTTGTACAAACAGGTCTGCCTTTGAAGAGAGAACCCACAGTATATTTTGGAATCTCAAATCCAAGTGAGTGTGTGTGGGGGTGTGTTTGTGTGTGTGTCAGGGTGTCTATGTGTGTGTGTGTGTGAGGGTGTCTCACCGTGTGTGTCTCACTGTGTGTGTGTCTCACTCTGTGTGTGTGTCACGGTGTCTCACTATGTGTGTCTCACTCTGTGTGTGTCAGGGTGTTTCACTGTGTGTGTGTGTGTGTGTGTGTGTGTGTGTGTGTGAGGATGTCTCACTGTGTGTGTATGGCTTACTGTGTGTGGCTCACTGTGTGTGTGGCTCACTATGTGTGTGTGTATGTGAGTGTAAGGGTGTCTCACTGTGTGTGTGTGTGTGTCAGGGTGTCTCACTGTGTGTGTGTATCTCACTGTGTGTGTATGTGTGTGTGTGTGTCAGGGTGTCTCAGTGTGTGTGTGTGTGTGTGTCAGGGTGTCTCACTGTGTGTGTGTGTGTGTCAGGGTGTCTGTGTGTGTGTATCTCACTGTGTGTGTGTGTGTGTCAGGGTGTCTCACTGTGTGTGTGTCTCACTGTGTGTGTATGTGTGTGTGTGTATGTGAGTGTGAGGGTGTCTCACTGTGTGTGTGTGTGTGTGTGTGTGTGTGAGGGTGTCTCACTGTGTGTGTATCTCACTGTGTGTGTATGTGTGTGTGTGTCAGGGTGTCTCACTGTATGTGTGTGTGTATATCTCACTGTGTGTGTATGTGTGTGTGTGTGTGTCAGGGTGTCTCACTGTATGTGTGTGTGTATCTCACTGTGTGTGTATGTGTGTGTGCGTGTGTGTGTCAGGGTGTCTCACTGTATGTGTGTGTATCTCACTGTGTGTACGTGTGTGTGTATGTGTGTGTGTCAGGGTGTCTCATTGTGTGTGTGTGTGTGTGTGTCAGGGTGTCTCACTGTATGTGTGTGTATCTCACTGTAGGGTGTCTCACTGTGTGTGTATGTGTGTGTGTCTGTGTGTGTGTGTGTGTGTGTGTGTGTGTGTGTCAGGGTGTCTCACTGTGTGTGTATGTGTGTGTGTCAGGGTGTCTCACTACATAGCCCAGGCTAGCTTCAAACTTTCAGCAGTCATCCTGCCTCTGCCTACTGAAAGTTGGGGTTATAGGTGTGTGCCCCCACGCCCAGTCAAAAAAAACATTTTTGAAAGAAAGTTCAAAGTCACAGGCTTTTCCCATCTTGAGGTCAGCAGTATAGCTAGAAATCTTCATGCTCCCCACCAAGTTACTCTTTAGAGGCTGGAAAGATGGCTCAGTGATCAGAAGTACACGCTGTTATTGTAGAGGACCCAAGTGGGCTCCTTAGGCAACTGCACTCACAGACATACTCCCATAACAACACACACAAATACATTTAAAAAAATTGTATTAAGGTAGGCCTCTAGCAATAAATAAATATGTTTAAACTAGAATTTTCTAACTTTTTCGATAGCAGATTTTGAATGTCTTTTTTCTAATTTAATGTGTGCATGGTATTGTGTAGTTGTTTTAATTTTAAAATCATAATGAGGTGCTGGAGAGATGGCTCAGTGGTTAAAATAGCTGTTCTTCCAGAGGACCCAGGTTTGGTCCCAGCACCTACATGGCAGCTAACACTTGTCTAACTCATTTCAGAGGCTCCAACACCCTCTTCTGAACTCCATGGTCATTGTATGCATGTGAGCACTTAAGTACATGCAGGTAAAATACTCATATGCATAAGATAAAAATAAATACAATCTTTAAAAAAGTTTTAAAAGCATAATGAATATAAACATGTTCCCATCTTGTTTTTCTTTTTGTTATTGAGAAAGGGTCTTGCTATATAGCCCAGGCTGGCCTCCTATCTCAGTCTCCTGAGTGCTAGGATGTGAAGCCACCACACTTGGCTTTGTTTTGTAAGACTGATTTTTTTTTCTCTCTGTTTACATGTGAGTTATCTGACTCAGGGGATGGGACACTGTGGCCCATGGACCAGATCTGGCTAGGTATTTATTTCTAGAAATGAAGTTTTATTGGCATACAGCCACGGTCATTTGTTCACATGTTGTTTCGAGCTGCTTTTTGCACTACGGTATCAGGGTAGAAAGGTTCCAACAAACGCTAAAGTATTTGCTAACTGTCTTTAACAAAGAATGTTTTGAGACTCTGCTCTCAGCCGTGGTGGTTTCAGTCCTGCCCCGCTGTGCTGCACTCCCACATTATCACACACCAGAGACCTCCTCGTCCTGTGCTGGGTGCTTTTGCTCATGCTTCTGTGTCTGTGATTTCCAACCTGTACTCTGCCAGGATGCTTCACCCTTCCAAAAGCCTCCTTGAGAGGTACTCATGTGACAGTGTTCCCTTCATGTCAGAGACAAGGCACTTGGTAAATCTACAAGGTACCATAAAAAAGTAACAACTTCTACCGAAAAGAGTGATTTTGTGTGGCAGCATCAGCATCCACTTTTGTTTCTATTTTTATTTCAGTTTACTGACAGAGCACTTTCATTGACTCCTCTGGAGTAAAAGATCTGCCCTTTCTTACTCTCTTAGATACTATCAGTACAGTGAGGCACCTGGACAATTTATTTGCACAGTATCAGAGATCAACTTGGATCAATGATATGAATCTCATCAATTCAAATAATCATTTAAATGACTAAAACATCAAACAACCAAACAGAAAGTCCAACCCACTCCGCTTTTCTTCTATTAACTACAAGGAAGAAGGTTGGAGCACTGGAGGAACAATAAACATGACTTTCTGAGAGATGTTAAACCAAAAGGCTGTTCTATCCTTCCATCAGTTATAAATGCAAGGAATTATGCAAAAGAAGGAAAAGAGTTTCATTTATCCAGAGAAAAACAGAGATCCTCACTTAAGACATGATGTGGAATAATGCCCAGAGTCTGTAGCAATTCTGCCTTACTTCTGCAAAGTGTTTTCTAGAACATTTTACTACAACCTATCCAAACTATGGCTTTTTGGCAACAGCTCTGTAGCCCTTTGCTCTGGTGGCTCCTCCCTTTCTTCGTTTTCTAAAAAAATTTTAGGTGTACTGCCTGCATGTATGTAAGTGCACCTGTGTTGGGCATTGCTCTTGGGGGTCAGAAGAGGGCACTGAATCTCTTGTAACAGGAGTTAAAGACAGTTGTTAGCCACCATTTGGGTTTTGGGAACTGAACCTAGGTCCTCTGCAAGAGCAGCCAGTGCTCTTAACAGCTGAGCCTTCTTTCCAGTCCCTCGTCCTTTCTTTGAACCATAGAAATGATCACAAAAATATATTAACAACCTGTAACACAACATCGTATGTATGTATATGTGCAGTTTGTTCCTTAAAATTATTTTTTCCATTTGCCTTCTGAAAAGTTTTATATGTGTGGAAAGCCACGAGGCTAAAGGTTGGGATTGCAGAGTGGAAGCGTGGGCTGTTGGGAAAGCTCAGTCTTTGAGACAAAAGCTTCTAGTTGTAACTACATTTCTGGGGAGGAGACTGCCTCTATACCACGTCCATTAAGGGGCAACTTTTATTTCTTAATAGTGGTGCCTTTCTCTCAGAAAGTGCAGTGCATGGTAAGGGCAGAAAATAAGCAAAGGAGGAAATTTGATATTGATTTTCTTCTCCTCTGTGAAATTACATGGATGTTCAATGCCTTGTAGCAGTACCTTAGTCAATAAAGATCCATTTGAGACCACCTTGAAGCTTGATGACTTTTCTGATCCTTTATAAACTTCCTCTACTGTCAAACTCATTTGGATATAATTGTCTTCAGTGCTGAAATAGTGTGATCTTTCTTCATAGCACCGCAATGAGGATTTTGCTCAGTAAAATTGTACTGCATTCCAATGGTTTGCCCCTCCTTTTTGTTAAAAGCCAACAACACAACACAACAAATCTGACAATCCAAAGGGCAAAAAGAGATGGATAAAGTGAATCATGGGACTCGTTGTAGATTTTCTTAGTATTAGAGTGTTGCTGGGTCTTCCTGGGTTTGAACTGCAGAAGGGGCAAGTGTAGCACCTTGTCCCGTGGGGCTGAGGGAAGGTCATTTAAGGCCGCCGCATCATCATCGTCTTTGTTGCCGTAATACTTTCTTTTCTTGAATTTTCGGGGCAGAGGCAGTATGCTAAGTCTCTCATGGTTTCTGTCCTTAGGGAAGCAATAAGCCGGTTGTGTGAAGCTGTCCCTGGGGCGAGTGGAGGCATTAAAAAACGAAAGGTAAATATTTATGTGGGTTTCTTGTTTGTTTCTTAACTATGGCAAAAAAATAAAAAAGGATCAAAATAGTTGCTATTGAATGCCTGGGCTTCTTAAACGTTTGCCATGTGCGACCCTTTTTGCCTTCATGTGTGTGCATGTACAAGTGTGGGTGTGCATATGTGCACATGGGTGTGGAGACCTGATGACAGCCTCAGGTGTGGGTTGTTCAGGCTCCATCAGTCTTTTTTTTTTTGTTTTGAGACAGGGCCTCTAACTGGTCTGGAACTGGCCAAGTAGGTAAGGCTGGTTGGCAAGGGAGCCCCAAGGATCCGTCTGCCTCTGCCTCCCCGCCGCTGGCATTACAGACATGCCAACCATTTGGTTTTTATGTGGGTTCTGAAGGAACTCAGGTCCTCAAGCTTTGACTTTACCAGTCTGAGCTATCTCCCCAACCCTGCCTGAGGTTTAAATGACTCCAGGTAGAAGTATATAAAATAGAAGAGATGGCTCAAGCAGGTATAAGCACTTGCCACATAAACCTGATGACCTAAGCTTCTGGATCCTGTGGTGGGAGAATCAACTCCTAAGAGTTTCCTCTGACCACCACACACTTGTTGCACACGACTTGTGCACACTCATACTCACTAACACACATTATATACACAGACAGTAATAATAAAAAATTTAAAATTATCTGATATACATATAATTTATGTAAAATTTATTAACAATGAAAGTAAATTTGCATACTAATGAGACGGATATGGTTTTTTTTTAATCTAAAGAATTAAATCTTGGCTGAATATTTGATAGTGAAGGATGTAGAGCATTTTCAATGTTCTTTAGATTTGATCAACATTTTATTTTTGGTCTTTTTTGAAATAGGGCCTCCCCGTAGCCCAGCTGGCCTGGAGCTCAGTATCTAGACCAGGCAGGCTGGCCTTGAACTCACAAGATCCACCCACCTTTGCCTCCCGAGTGCTGGGATTAAAGGCATGTATCGCCACACCCAGCTGATATTTTATTTTATAATTGCCAATGCTGACAATACCACTTTATAGAAATTCATAGTGCAAAATGACAGGAATATGTTCAGGGCCATTTCAGAAATTGTTGGAATTTTTGTTCTACTCCCCAACCAAAATTCATTTAATGATATTTTAAGAAACTCAAATATATGATTCAAATAGCATTTTTTCAAATAAAACATTCTAATATAGTATAATCCAAAGATAGCTTAGATACCTATATGCTGAGGAATAGCAGTAGGAAAACATTAAGTCTTTCTTTCCTGTGATTAAACCACTCTGTTTCTGTGAGAACAGAAAATTTTCAACATCCAGTAAAATGCTGTAGTTCATAATAGTGTAGTCTGGAGTCTGTGCCAAGCTGTTTTAGGTGTGTGTACTGGCTTTGCCTGTCCTGACACATGCACTGCAAAGTGTGCATGCTGTGTGTTCAGAATCAGGGCTGGTTGCAGTGGAGTCACACCACACACCATGCCATCGTATTTGATTCACGTAATGTGAAACAGAGAGGAAGGCATGGGCTAGGATACATTGTCAATGTTAAAAAATTAACATTCGGGGACTGGAGAGAAGGCTCAGCAGTTAAGAGCACTGGCTACTCTTGCAGAGGACCTGGGTTTGCTTCCCAGCACCACATGACAGATAACAACTGTCCTTAAGTCCATTTCCAGGGGATCTGATGCTGATGCCGTCTTCTGACCTCCACAGGCATGGCACATATGTGATGCACTTATACAAATGCAGGCAAAACACATGTACACATAAGAATAAATTTTGTAACAATTAGCATTCAGTCTTACAGCATTGTTTTGTTATTTTTAAGGCTCCAGTTAAGTTCCTATCAACAGTTCTTGGCAAAAGTAATCTTCAGTTTTCAGGAGTGAATATAAAGCTGACCATTTCAACATGCAGCCTCACACTGATGAATCTTGACAACCAACAGGTAAGACTACAAATGTCGATTACAGTGTAGCATATCTATTTTTCTGGAAGTGTGTGGTAATAAAGAAAATAAAGTGTCAGAACTTGCTTATAATTTAATAAGCCATAAAGGAAAAATTACCCAAGATATATGCATATTAGCAACTAGGATATTAACAGCATTACTAACCTATCACTGGGGAGTTTAACTGGCTGCAAATAACTTACTGCCTCCTAATTGCCTTGGAATGAAAAACTAAGGTTCAAAGAACATAGTAAATATGAATTGCTAATTAAGACCGCTAATATGGTCTTTGGACGGAGATGTGAATGAGGGACACAGCAAAGGTGAAATGCTGGAGTGGATACACTAGGGTTAAGCAACTTACTGAAATGTAGGCAAAAAGTATTACCTTCTACCACTTTTAGTTGAAAACCTTTCTAAAATGTTGTATAGGTGTCATTTTCCTCTTCATGATTTCTAATCTTCTGGTGTGTGCCTGAGTTTTCCTTGTGAACCTTATTTATTAGAGAACAACATTGCTGAATCAAATGTAAAAACACACAGGCACTGGGCTAAGATGTATATAAACAACAGCACTCTTTTTGACTTGCTTTTAACCTTTGAAAATAAGTTCCTGATGCAGACTATTTATGTGTGTTAGAGTCTGATTTTACTCTGTCTATTATGTAGTGATTTGAGGCTGTTAATGTTTAAGTTTTACTATATGGTGTGCTGTTGACCAAAGACTATAGTAGATGGTTCAGTAGCACTGGTCATAACAAAACACTAAGAGGTTTGAGACCACGTACAGGGTGAAATGATGGCTTTGTCACTTAGGAGTTACCCTTCATCTCTGAGCTTCAGTTTTCCTTATCAGTGACCTATATAGATCACAAGGCCTATTTATAAGATGTCTCAGATTTAAATAGTGTGTTATAAGACTATTTCAGAGGATTATGAAATATGAGATTATTATGAGATATGAATGGGACTCACTTAAAACAACACCAGTAACATGGTATCAATATTGTTCAATTATTCTTTCTCAGAGACTGTTTCAAATACATACCCAGAACTTAATGGAGCAAAACATAAAATTGCCAATAGCATTCAAGTCCTGAGGGCCCATTTATTTCTTAAGTTCCAAAACATAGTGCATTGTGTATTCTGTAGTATAAAACATGTTGGAAGAAGCTCTTTAATATGAAACAATTTAAAATGGAGTCTTCTCTAGTTGGGCCTTGATTAATTAGGCAAGTATCAGTGATATCATTGGCATAATGACAGTATAGCATTTTTTGGAGGATAATTAGAAGATATAACACAAGAGAAATATTTATTCATTCATTCAGTCACTCACATTCTTTGACCTCAAGATGCTTATAAATGTAAACTTTAGTTTTAGTTTTCACTCTTGTATATGGTACCACAGAGGTTCGTGGTTTAATCATGACATCTTATTAAGTTAAGGGGTCCTTGAATTAACTCATAGTTGCAAAGGTGGAAAATAGGCAAGGCAGGAGATACCATGGTGAAAGCTTTATGTGCAGAATCTAATGTTTTCTAAATGGCCCTTTCTGTGGGGAGACTACAGTGAATCGGAGAGTTTACAGACAACAGGGTTGTTGTGTATATGAGGGGCTCCATCTGTCCATCTCCTTTCCCTCCTCTCTCCTTCAGACTATAGCAGTTAGAGGTATGTTGTGTGACTTTTCTTGAGGAGATGTGAGTACACATCTATCTGTTCACCCGAGATAAGAGCACTGATGACAGACCAAAGAATGGATTTCACCCAAGTCTAGCTTAGTGAACCAGTGAGTTTATTGGGCCTACTTGTATGAAAATGGCAGAGGGGTTCCTTACAGGAGCATGGAGGATCCAAAGGCAGCTGCATCAGAAAAGCCCACTGCAGTGAGGGTGACGACTCCCAACAGCTGCCTTCCTGGAGCCCTTTGCAAAACTTGTAGGCAGCAGGGCTGGTTGGAGGTCACCTCCTCCCACTGTTCCTGCTTGTATAACCTTGGTTTAGGAATGGGATTGCTGGAGTGGCAACCAAAGTTAGAATATCACTGGTTTCAGGCTCAGGGGCTCATTCTGAGCTCTTCTGTAGGCCTGGAGGGAAAGGCTGGAGGGGTGCTTATATGTGTGTGTGTGTGTGTGTGTGTGTGTGTGTGTGTGATTGTGGATGCTTCAAGAAGCTTTATATAATTCATGAAATGAGCAATTAAAATGTTCAAGGGATGAAGCCAGGAGAGAAGAGTCTTTTGGATACAGTATGAGAAAAGGACTTATCAAATAGGGGCACTCACGAACTTTAAGACAATACAGAGCTGGTGAGATGATTCAGTAGGCAAGGGCCCTTGCTGCCAAGGCTGACACTTGAGTTAGCTCCCTAAGACCCCAAATGAAGGAGGGAGAGAACTAACTACCACAAGTTATTTTTTGACCTCCACATGCCACTGCAGAGCACACACACAGATGCACGTGACACACACACACACACACACACACAAAAAAAAATGTAATAAAAAATTTAATAAAAGGTAAGTACAAAGAAATACTGATGCTTGCCTTTTGCTCTTAATTTCTAAGATCTATTTTGGTCCCCAAACATAAACACCTTCAAATTAATGGCTGTTAGGCTACTTTTCTTGGGGAGATGTGAGCAAAGATCTATTCACTCCAAATAGGGAACAAACGACACTCCAAATATGTAGTTCCACCTGTCTGCTAGTGAACCAGTGAGTTTACTGGGCGAGTACTGAGGGGTTACTTGTAGGAGTGTGGGTGACTCGAATAGCTGTACCACCAAGTCCCATCCCAGACGAGTGGTGGCCTCCTACATTTTGCATACAGGCCTCTTCAGCTTTCTACCTTCTGCATTTTAACATTTCAGCTGAATTATGAACAGCTGTTGGGGGGCAAAGAATCAAAGACTGGCTAGGACCTCAGGGATGGGTCTAATAGACCCTCTGCACTTCTCTCTTCGGGAGGGATCTTGTGAAGGTCTGGTGTGTGTAGTCAAAGCTGCTCTGATTAAGATAGTAATGGTCATACTAGGCGTACAGGGCATCGGTCCACAATTACAGATGATAGCACCTTCTATTTAGGTGGTTCACATTTACCTTTGGTCAAGAAAATAACCATTGGGCTGAGAGATAGTTCAGAGGTTAAGAGCACTGGTTGTTCCTGCAGAGGACCCGGGTTCAATTCCCAGCACTCACATAGGGGCTAACAACTGTCCATAACTCCACTTCCAGGGGATCTGATGCTCTTTTCTTGCCTTTGCAGGCATTGCATGCAGATGGTACATTTACATACATGTAGGCAAAACATAAAATAAAATAAAAAAGAACATAACCATTTACTCTCAGAGAATATGTCTTTACAGGCAGGAAACAAAAGTATGTTAAACACACTATATTTAAATAGTAGTATATTTGGGGGTGAGAAAACCTATTTTGGAAGCAACTTATAGGAGATTCTGTGTATTCATTTTAAATTCAAGGGTCAGTCGTTAGTATACTTCAGGACAGCATTTGGAATCTATAGGGAATGATCTAAGCCTTTAGTGGATGCCTAAAACCAGGAAGTACCAAAACATTTTTGTTAAACATTTTTATTACATTTATGGGGGGGGGGTAAAAGAATAACCTGCAGGGTCAATTCTCTCCATCATGTGGGCCCAGGGGATCAGGTGGTCTAGCCTGAGAGCAGGCATCTTTCCCTGCTGAGCCGCCTCACCAGCCCAGATAGTACCAAACTTGCATGTACTGTTTTGTGTAAATCTTAGCAACTACAGGATGAGATTTTTTTTTTTAAGTCAAGATCTTCCACTATTCCACTTAAAGGAGGCACGGCATTACTTCTCACCAGTATATCCAGATTGCTATTACCGGCACCATAGCTCCTGTTTTGTGACCATTATTAAGGGAAATAAGAAGTATTTTCACTAAGGGACCTGACGGTGATAACTAAGACAGCTGTCAGTGACTATGGGATGGGCGCTGAGAATGGTGTGTAAAAGATCGTCTGCATCCTGTGTGGAATGGAGCAGGACACGGTATCCTCATGTTAATTAAAATGGTGTGGTCTGTGATAAACCTCCTTTCAGGAATTTCCTAGTATGTTCAGACTGCAATTGAAAAGTAAATGCAACTTAGGAAAGTAAAGTCATGGGTACAAGGAGATGCTGTGTGGGGCCTTAAGCAAAGTCATAGCAGCTCCCACTCCCACCAAGCCTTTACTCACTCCTCCAACTGCCACCAGCCCTGACAGTTGCTGAGTTGACGAGTGTAAGAGTTAGTTAAGGAAACAAAACAAAACAAAAAAACAGAGACATCATTTGGTCTCCATGAGGACTTTCAAGTACCCAGAGGCTAGGCGGCCATGAAAATTGTCCAGGTACAGGAAAGCAGTGCCCAAATCATGATGGAGACACACGTGAGTGCTGTCTGCCACACTGGGGACCCTGAATCAGAACACCTTCTCAGGAGAAACAGAAGTGCTTTGCCATGTAGTGCTAATAAGACTGCTAGATACTCCTTTACTGAGAACAAAAATCTGGGGTTTTAGCTACTATCTTGAGAGTATAATGTGATCTCTGAGAAATTAAAATTAGCTTAAGCCAAATAAAGTATCCATCTGCATTTAATCCTTACAGTTTGCAAGTTAAATCCAATTTAATTCTATTTTCTATTTAGGACCAAAGCCAGAGAGATTAAGTATATTTATTTACTTTCTGAGCTAACTGGTGGAATCCAAATTTGATTCAGGTATTAACTGTTCCACACTGTGTGGTAACTTAAACATTAAAAAAAACAAAAGCACTACTGAGCATGACTGACAAAAGCCTGTAATCCCAGCTCTGGCAGGAGGACCAGGAGTTCAAAACCCTTTTCTGCTATACAGGCAGTTCAGCGTAGCCTGAGCTGCCTAAGAACAGCTTACCAAAAATTAATAAAAGAAAAAAGTTAGAAAATGCAACCAATTTCTACCTTCAGTAAGGAGGAACAAGTGTTCATTTCAGTGATCTGTATTCTGTTTTTAAGACCAACAAACCAACCCTGAATCAAAGCCCAGGTCTTTCTCCCCAAATGGACTTTCAGTTAAAACACAGAGTATTTCTCCCTACCCTGTCCCACACAGAAACAGAATCACTTCTCCATTTAGACTTGTTTTTTCTCAGCCTACCTTCCCTGCCATGTTTAACTGGAGGTAAAGACAACTGACCAGTTTATTGTGCACTATCTGTCAACCCCATCCCAGGAGTGCGGTGACCTTACATTGCACATACAATCTGACACCTGACTCCAACTACTTGCTATGTGAGCAGCAGCAGATAGGAGACAGCAGTTTACTTCCTGTCTGGTTTTTCCTCTCTCTCCCTTCTCCCAGGTAAGGCGAAGTGATTGAGTGTTTGTTACCCTTGTCACTGTCCTCTATTTTACAGGACACCCTAGCCCCCAAAGACAAAATGAATGTAAAAAAAAGTGAATTGTCCTGTTGTACAGGATCTGTCCTATACTTCCAGTGTGAAGGAGCACCAAGAACTTTCTTATTAATCATAAAAGACCTGCTATAAACTCACTTTGTTCGGCATAGCTTTCAGTGTAATTACTACACTCAAGAAACTTCAGCAGCTTCATAAAATACCCACAACAACATACTCATTCCTAGAGCAGCTCTTCCTAGGCTGGCAAATTCTTTGAAGCAATACTTAAGCTTCTAGGAATTTATTTGTAAGTCAGGTATCTGAAAGGGTTCATTTTGCCTTACAACACTGGCTGTTTAAATCTTAAAATGGATGTAGTGATAAACACAATGAAGGAGTATATAAGGTATATACGCAATACTATTAGACACACAAAATACACAGAACAAGAAATTTTTATTGTCACCAATGCTGGTGCATGAGGAATAACAAGCTTAGCTAGAGGAAGAGAGAGGCAAGTGTCAGGCACCCAGGTGGATTTCTGGGCAGGTTTAAAACCTTCGAAGTTTGATAGCACAACTGCTCATAAGAACTTTTACAGCTATCGGCAGGCTTTCCTTTACTTCACAATTTTCACTAACAGCTCTTACAATATGAAGTTCAGCTACAGTCCTACCTATCAAGGTATAAACAGCAAGCAAAATTTCCCCAGTACATAAGGGTATTGGAAAGTTTGTGCTTTCACATACATTTTAATGCCTAAACTTGATGGCCAAGCGTGGTGGCGCAAAGCTTTAAAAAAAAAAAAGACACATTAATTTTTCACTTTAAAAACCACAATGGATTTTTCCCAAATTACAGATCATGGTAGCTTTATACATCATGAAGATATTCATACAATCAGAATTTCAGATGCTCTTGGAAACACATCTTAAGAGTACATGTGCTAACACACACATCTACACATATCCACACATAGTTTGCCTATCTTTTGGGGATAACGAAAATTCAATCTTAAACTGCAAATTTAGCTTTTGATAACTATCATATATAGATCACAAAATAGAATTTGGAAAGTTTCCTCAACAGGCTTTCGGTTCAAATCAGTCAAAGATATATTGTGGGTCCCCCCCCCCATCTATTGGCAGTTTTTCTTGGTCACGATTTACTCTTGCAAAAACACCTTTACAAGCTTAACAAGAAAAAGATCTCCAATGTAGGGAAAATAATCCCGACCAACAAAGTCAGAGCCACGGGTTTCTCTGGGCATCCTTGAAAGCAGATTTCCTAAGACCCTTTCCTTCCATGATTCCTCTCCTTTTCACCACTGTGCAGTCACTGTCCTATTGTCTTCTATTCTGAGAAACAAAACCCGGTTTTTTTTTTGCACAGAACTATTTGGAACGAACCCAAAAGGTAGCGGAATGTTGAATCTTTCCCTCTCAAGTAGTTTCCTCCTCTTCCATCAGCATTTAACTACTCTCTATCAATGATCTCATCGCAACCGAGTTCTTCGGTCAGACGGTTGACAACCATTAGCGAAAACAGCTCTTCGATGAAGGCGAGCTGGTCGAACGGCGTCTTCTCGCACCGCATCTGAAAGCCGCCATCCAGGGCCGCCTCCCCGGACGTTCTCCGGAACATCTTGTTGGCTTCCTCCAGGGCGGCCGACACGCGGTAGCTCGCGCCGCCGCGGCGCTCCTCCTCCGGATAGCTGTAGTCGTCCTCCCAGTCGTCAAAGTCCTCGGCCTCGAAGTCGGGGTCCGCGAGGCCGCGCGGGGCCCGGGCCGAGGGCGCGGCCTCCTCCTCCATCGGGCCCTCCTCCTCCGCCTGCGCCGCCCCGCGCACGGCCGGCCCGCGGCCCCCGCGGCCTACCTCCATCTGCACGTCCATCTGCAGGTCATTGCTCTCCTCGTACAGCTCGGACAGCTCAGCCATCTCCGCCATGGTGGAAGCCGCTGAGCCTAGCAAAACGTTTTCAGCAAGAAGGACGCGCGGGCGGGCGGACTGGCGGGCGTGGTGCGCGTGCGCGAGTGGGCGTGGTGCGCGTGCGCGAACGCTGCGCATGCGCGTCCCCGGACGCAGGCGCACTTTCCAGATGCAGTTTCCTCTGTCTGCGCCGGATGCGGGCCAGCATTGTGGGCTCAGCGTAGCGTGGGCTGTGGTTGGCCTGAGCTCTCCACCTTACTGAGTGCTAGTGCATTCTTTAGGACTCTCGTCGGCCCACTTCCGCTAACATGGCTGTGAACTGGAAAGCGTGGCTTCGGTGACAGATGCCGCCCGGTCTCCTCCCTCCACCTCCCCAGTCTCCCCCAAGCATTCCATCTGTTCGGGGCTTCAATTACCTTTATCCTTGAGCGAGTCGGTATCTGCTGACCAGAGTATCTGTAACACAGGTCAACATATACAGCATATGATAAGCGATCCGTTCAGCTCTTTTATTGTCATTTTAAAACCATTCATAGCAGATACTATCTTTTAAAGTTACAGTAAAAAAAATTTGTAGTCATTGTTTTTATCACAAGCTACCTTTCTACTATTTTCAATGTGGTGTGTGTTCCTTAAATCCGTTCCCTTTGCATTTGCGTGGGTCTTTATGTACTTTTAGCAAACGAAATACTACTTTGTGGGGGTTTCCCCTACACCTTCAACTCTGGGGAGAAAAAGGCCTCAGTGGTGTCAAAATTCAGCTTTCCATTTGTTTTATTTGCATAAATACATTAAAGTTGACCTAACCGTGGAGAAATGATTTGTGTGTACACACCTTTGTGTATACGCAGGCACATACACAACGGTCAGTTGAACATCGGCATGTGCTAGTGTTCTCCAGAATAAGGAAAGGCGGAAAGCACAGGCTATGTTATGCATGCTTTAAATAAATATCGGTCACATTGTGCTCCACCGTTGCTCTGCAAATTTAATATCTACACTCTCCACATTTGGTTATACTGAATCAATACAATTAAAATTCCGTTTTATTGACTTAATCTTCTTTTCAATCTTTTCCCACAGTTTTATTTTCTCGGAGCTTATCTTTCAACACAGCGAATATTTGCATTTCTTCTGTGCATTAACTGGCTGTATTTTGTATTTATTTCTTTTTCTTACTGATTTGTAGGAATTCTTATAAACTATATGAATACATCATTTTTCATTTTATGAATATATTCTTCAAGCTTGTTTGTATTTTAGGGAGTCATATTAAAGTTTAAAATTAGTTTTTATGTAATAAGATTTTTGTATGCCTATTTTTTATTATTAAGATGAATTTTCCTTCTTCAGTAATATATCTTACTGTCTGAAAAGGCAAATGAATGAAAGAATTTTAGAAGCAGCTTGAATATTTATTGTATGTCTTGCTATCTGACAAGGTGAATCTTGTCCACTTGTTTAAAAATGCTTTGGCTGTTTTTCAAATCAATTCTTCCATGTTGACTTCATAAGCAGTATGGCAATTCCACCGATGACACTGGCAACATTTGTACCAGAATTTCTTGGAACTTGTAAATTGGTTTAGGGGAAGAGGATTGACATCTTTATAATAATATCATTTTCATCTCCATAAGATGATATATATCTTTCTAATTAATCAGGTTTTAAGAATTTATTCCTTGAGAATTTCATACATGTATATATGATCATATCCACTCCTCATTAACCACCTCCAACTCCCCCCCAGCTCCCCTGCAACACGTCCTTCTCACAACTTAATGTTCTCTATTTTAATTATGACAAAGTCCAATCATTGATGTCCATATGTGCTTGAGTTTGAGACCATCCCCTGGAGTATAGGCAACCTATCAGTGGCTACACACCTAAAGAGGAATGATTCTCCTTTCTCCAGAAACTATTAGCTACTGATAGTTCCTCAGTTAGGGGTGGGGCTCAAGAGCTCCTCCCTCATCCATGCTGGAATTTGGGTTGACTTGATTTCCTGCAGGCAAACAACAGCTCCTGTGAGTTCATGAGTGCAATAGCCATATCGTGCTAGAAGACAGCATTTCACAGCTCTCCTCTCTGCCCTCTCTGTTACACCATTTTTGCCTTCTCATCTCCACCGGTTTTTGGAAAGATGGGCGTGTCAGACCCATGGTTTAAATGAGATTATTCAGGGGTGGGGATGTAGCTCAGTGGTACAGCACATGCTTAGGATGCACAATTCCGATACCAAAAATACAACAACAAAAAGAGGTTATTAAAAAAAGAGGTTATTTTAGAATGTTGATAGTCACTTCTAAAGCTATGCTAAGAAGGTAGAAACAAGCAAACAAATTATAGGATTATACAATTTAATTTGTTTATATTTTTCAGATTATTGCAAATCATCATATGCAATCTATTTCATTTGCCTCTGGAGGGGATCCTGTAAGTATGAATCTGTTAAAATTCATTCGATGCATTCTAAGAACTTTTATATACAGAATATTAATCATAGCATGTCTTTTCCAGATACCTTACTACGTTTATTAAATGCTGCATGTAGCAGGTAGTCAAAAATTTGGCTTGGGCAAAATATTTCCTTTGTTTTAATTTCAAAAGATTTAGTAGATTACCTCACAGTTCTCCTCTGTGTTATTAGCCACTGAGTTATCAGCTGATAAGTTTCTGTTAACATCAAAGTCACAAGAAGCAAGTATGTCTGTCCTGTGTGTGCTATCATCCTCTTTTAGAATTAGTAACAGAGTGCCAGGCAGATATTAAAGAGACTGGATATATGAAGGAAGCCTGTTTGCTGTCATTGCAGTTAACCAAGGTCATGAAGTCCAATCTAGAATAAGGAGCCAGCTTTGCAAAAACCCATGGAGAAAATGATCAGCTAGGGAGAAAGAGCATGCAGTTCCTGTCTACTGCGGCTGTGTGGTACTCATTTCCCACGGATTGTGCAGGGCTTCTCTCCAAGCCTACTTTACACTGTCATTCCTTGACTCTCCCTGCATTATCTCTGGGTCAGAGTCTTTGGAGAATGGTACTGAGATTTAGGGAGCATCAGTGACTGGATAGCAAACAAAAGTGTTTGAGGAAACAGGACAATTTTGTTTCACTGTGACATTATGAGCCATTTTTGTACCTATAAGCAAATGGAAGACTAAAAGCAGAGTGACTGTCATGAAGGCTGAACGTCAGTAACATCAAGGAAGTGTATGGAGAACATATCCAGAACATTCTTATCAAGAGTGTGCTACCTTCTTTCTCATTAAATATTATTCCTTCAGAAATGACCCAATGAAATCCAGGCTAACAGTTGTTTTTTTAAATCCACTACTTCAAGTTTCCCACTTTTAATTGAGAAATAAAATTTAGAGTCACAGGACTAGAGAGATGGCTCAGTGCTTAAGAGCATTTGCTGCTCTTGCAGAGGACATAAGTTCAGTTCCCAGCAATCATACCACCTGTAACTCCAGCTCCAAGGACTCTGAGGCCCTTTTCTGCCCTCTGTGGGCACCCATACACATGTGGCACACATGCGCGCGCACACCCGCACATATAAATAAAACTAAAATCTAAAAATATAGAGTCCCAATAATGAGAGATATAACCTAGGAACCTAGTTTCAAAGATGTGCAAACAAACAAAACACTGTATTGAGTTGGTGTCCCTGCAAAATTTGATTTGCTTTTATTTTAATGCAAATATTTGAAAGGAAAAATTGCATATACTAAAAGGAAACAAAGTTCTAAAGTTTCTCTGAGTTATCACTGTTTCATTTACCGAACTTCCAAAGTACTTGAGCAAGTGCTACCTTGTGTATTGGTGTACATTTCTTGTGTGTAAAGTCCATAGCTGAATGCTAATTAAATTATCCCATCCTTCAAAACACTTCAGAAATTACTTGGCTTCCCACTGGCTGCCAGTATTTAAGTGTATCAGTCAAGACAATCCGCCTTCAGAGCTTCTTAGATGCACGTGTAAGAAAAGCGGCTGCACAGGATTTCAAATCGTGGTTTTCTTTTATTGGATACTCAGCTTCCCTTTAGGCATCACTATGCCCTCACCTTTGGGCTAGGATGTAGTTTAGTTCAAATTACTATATTAAGTTGGCTGCAGTGGTCCAGGTCTATAATTCCAGCACTCTGGAGACTGAGGTGAGAAGAGTTCAAAACCACTATGGGTTCTAGGCCAGCCTGTGACTACATATTGAGACTCTGTCTCCCCTGCTACCAAATTACTATATGGGTTCAATGATGCCAGAAAATAAAAATAACCACATTTTAAAAGCTTTACTTTTCCCCCAAGAAGTTCCACATGTGGATAATCAATTGTGGCTCTATTAGCAAATGTGAGCCCAAAAAGCTTTACTTTCCCCCCAAGAAATTCCATGTGTGGATAATCAATTGTGGATCTATTAGCAAACAGAGTGTGTAGGATGACTTATGCCTCATGGCTGCAATGTGAGCCCAGGACTGTGTGTGGATTCCAATCTAGACAGCCTCATGATCTGGCCTAAACTATGATTCCAAGAGTTGGAAACAGAGCACGGTGACTCTAGATGGGAGAACTGGCATGTTCTCTGCTCCTAGCCCATTATAGTTTGTCACTCAAGAAGGAACTCAAATACTTTTTAAAATTATTATTATATATTTTTTTATTTTTTAGAAGAAGCATTTCATTAGCTTCTCTTGCAGAGGACTGGGCATTTTTAAAAAATATTTTTTTATTATTTTTATTTTATGTGTATGAGTGTATTGCCTGCATGTATGTGAGTGCATCCGTGTCATGAAATGCTGCAGAGGTCAGAAGACAGCTTCGGATTCCCCTAGAACTGGAGTTAAGGACGGTTCGTAGCTGCCATGTGGATGCTGGGTCCTCTGCAAGAGCAGTCAGTGTTCTTAAGAGCTAAGCCATCTCTCCAGCCCCCTCAAATACTTTTTAAAAGAGACTGTTCCTTAATGTACTTGAAACATAATGATTGCTGTTTGCCCTAAACTTAACCTGTTAAAGTTTCAAGGGATGTTGTCATGTTAAGGTTGGTGCGCAGACCCTCATTTATGATGAGCCAGACATTATTTCTGTTACTTTTTGTCCTAGTTTGTTTCTCCATTGCTGTTACAAAACACTGACCACTACCAACTTGGGGAGGAAAGGGTTTATTTGTCTTACATCTCCCCAGTTACAGTAGGAACTCAGGGCAGGAACCTGGAGGCAGGAACTGGAGCACAGGCCATGGAGGAATGCTGCTTACTGGCTTGCTCCCCTGGCCCCTGCTCAGCCTGCTTTCTTATGCAACACAGGCCTACCTGCCCAGGGGTGGCACCACCCACAGTGGGCTGAGCCCTCCCACATCACTCATCAAGAAGGTACCCCACAGACATTGCCATAGGCCAGTCCAATGGAGGAAATTCCCTAATTGAGGCTTCCTCAACCCAGGTGTGTCAAGCTATCCAGTATACTGTTCTTCAGCCTGTCTTCATACACCCTTGGTTCTTAAACTTGCCAAAGCACAGTCCCTGTCAAATACAAACAGGAAAGAATCTACAGTCACTGTAGAAAATTGAGGGGAGGCCCTGGGCTGTCTGCAGCTGAAAAGTCCATTGACTTGGATTTTAAGTGGTAGTCTGGTTCTATCCTAAGCACTGGCGTTGGGAACCCCCCAGTGAAGTCTTCCCCTCATATCAGGAAGGCAGCGTGGGCTAGTGTCAGGCATTGGCATCAAGCAGACTTGACTTATTAACCTCTCTAAGGTTTGCGGGGGTTAATTCCTGTTGCCTCATGGTGTTGAAAGAATCAAGTGAGGGGGGCTAGAGAGATGGCTCAGTGGTTAAGAACACTGGTTGTTCTTGCAGAAGACCCGGGTTCGAATCGCAGCATCCACATGGCAGCTAACAACTGCCCGTAACTCCAGTCCCAGGGGATCCAACAGCCTCTTCTGTCCTCCATGAGCATTGCACGACACAGGTGCACCTACATGCAGACAATACATGCATACCCATAATCAAGTGAGATGATGAGCAGAAAGGGCTGGTGGTGCCAGGCAGAGAGTCACAGAAATTATAATGCAGGATGCATGTCCTTATTTCTTTTAGGGTGCTCACCTACCTGCTTCACAGCTTCATAGCTGTTGGTTCAAGGTATAGGAAGCTTTAGTTAAAAGTCCCATGTAGAGGCTGGAGAGATGGCTCAGTGGTTAAGAGCACTGGCTGCTCTCGCAGAAGACCTGGGTTTGATTCCCAGCACTCACATGGCAGCTAACAACCATCCATGACTCTAGTTCCAAGGGATCCAATGCCCTCTTCTGACCTCCGAGGGCATTGTACAACATGGGTGCACCTACCTACATGCAGGCAATAAATGCTTACACATGAATAAAAATAATAAATAAAATATTTTAAAAGTCCCCACGTGGCCCAATGTGGTCGTGCTTTTCCTACCACATTTCTCCAGTTTTTGAAGCTGCTGACCATTCTTCCTTACCTAGGCCTTTGCTCGCCTTTGCTTTTATTCTTTCTCAAAAACAGTTTGTTTTCTTTCTAGGAGCTGTGCAGGTAGCTCATGGAAATGCTTCTATAGCTACCTGTTTCTCCATTTCAAAAATGAATTGCAAATTTGTGAAAAATGAACATATTTAAAGTATTTTCTCCTGAAATTTGTGCTTTCCTTTTAAGTATTCTGAAATTTCTCCCACATGTTTATAACAGATAATTTTTAAACAATTAGAAAGTTGGGGATTGCTTTGAAGATGAGGAAGCAGGTCAGGAGACATCTCATGACCTTTTGCTCATCAGCACCTGCTCCAGGCCACATTGCTGGCACTGCATCACTTCATCAGCATAACAAGAGTAGCAGAGTCTCAGTAACTGTGACTTTTTCCTAACATAATGAAAAGCAAAGCTCATAACTATGGTCTTATTTATTTAGAAGATATTTTAAAACTTTTTTCTCTTTGCGTGGGATATTTATTTAGGTGCATGAGTTTTTTGAGACAGGGTCTCACTGTGTAGCCCTGGCTGGTCTGGAACTCACATAGATCCATCCAACTCTGCCTCCAAACTCCTGGGATATAGGCTGCTCCACCATGCCCAGGCTGGTGTGTGTTATTTTTAAAGATGACCTAAGACCAGTTCTGCTGACCCTGAGGTCTGCTTCCTGTATGATTCATTGTGGTTGTTAAGTGACTGACCTGTAGGATATTACCAACCAGGCCCTTACATCCTGCAAGGTGACTGCATATTCGCTCCAGAGAGCTGGTTTTTTGGGGGGTTTTTTTGTTGTTTTTTTTTGTTGTTGTTGTTTTGTTTTAATCTGCAACTGGCATTGTATGCATTTTGCCCTGAGAATTAAGATAACAAAAGCATCTTTAATTTTTAAAATCTTATAATTCATCAGCTTACTGTTTTCAATAAAAGCTGGAATCACTGAGTGGCCTTTTTGTTTGCTTGATTTCACGAAGTCAGCAGTGTAACTTTTTATAACTTCTTAAGTTATTCATAGTTTCTCTACTTGAAAAAATGATTAGCTTCTATATATTGATGAAATCAGTGCCTTATATTTTTACTTTATTATTCTATAAGTTAGCTTGCCCCCCCCCACATGCAAGCTACCAACTGCAAAACCCATGTTGCTCTGATCAGATCATTTTCTGATGTACATGAATCAGTATGGACATAGGGAAATCCTGATGCCGCATGCTAGTTCACAGTGCCTTTGTGACTGCATAGTCCCTCACATTTCAACCCAGCATGGGGGAGAGTCACAGTTCCTAGATATTTTAAAAGAATCCCCTCGATGCCTTATCTTTTGTTAAACCATTTTTAAATTTAAAAACATTAATTTTTAAAAAATTTTATGTGTATGAGTGTTTTTCATGCATACCTGTAAGCACACCTGTGTGTGTAATGCCCACAGAGATCAGAAGAAGGCATTAGATCCCCTGGAACTGGAATTACAGAGAGGTGTTAGCCACCCTCTTGATGCTGGCAACCAAACTTAGGTCCTCTGGAAGAGCAATCAATGCTCTTAACAGCTAAACCATCTCTCCAGCTCCCCTCTTTTATCCTTGATGACATAGTCTGCTCCAAAATGTTTAATCTTCTTGTGCTTCCTCTAAGGGATAGAGACTTTAGACTTCAGTTGTTAAATTATATATAGTATATACTATAGAGAAATGATCGTATTTAAGTCTTTGCTTCAGTGCCTGGTCCTAAATGAACTCTTATCTTTCAGTGGTTACAGTTCATTCATTTTAAATGCAACCGTTTTCCCTTTTTATAGGATACCACAGACTATGTTGCCTACGTAGCTAAAGACCCAGTCAATCAACGAGGTATGGAAAGTAACTTCTAGATTTTCTTAAGAACTGTTAGGTACCAATTATAAAAACCAACAGGTATGCTTTGTTATTTGGTTTACTTGTACTTGTTTACGTTTCACATGTCCTTTCTACTAGGCTAATAGCTCCATGAGAGTAGAAACCTATTTCTCTTACTGTTGTTTCACAGATATCACAATGCCTCACACATAAGTGATGCACAAAAGCTTATTTTTTGAATGACTGAGTATAAGAGTTGAGTAAATTTCTCATCCTAGGCTATAGCAAGGTTACCTAAGAAACTCATCTCCTGGCCATGCCTTGAGTCAAAGGCCCGAGGTTCCTCAGGTAGTTGGACCTCTCAGAATAGATATGGTTACAACTATTTCTTATCCCTAATCCTGGGGTACTCAGATTCCACAGAGAGACAGGTTTAGCCAGTTCTCCTTCTTAACTAGAACCTAGGAATTGGGAAACTTCTGCCACCCCAGGAATGGAATTTGCCCCCAGTAATTTGTTAAATTAATATGAAATGATATTTGGAGAAATTTAAATAACTGTAACTCACAAGAGGTAGAAACACACATGGTATCTTGGGAAACAAAACTGTAGATTACATGTGGAAGAAGAAAAAAAATACTCTGCCAGAGGGCAGATAGGAGTTAAGTGGGGTCTTGACCCTATGGGTAGATGGGTAGAAGGTGCTGTTTACAAAGCAGAGCTTTAGAAAGACTGATTTGACAGCCTGTAGTAGGTACATTCAAAGAGAAACTAGAAGCAAGGGGATTGATTTGGAAATGTGATGGTCAGGGTGAAATTATGAGAAATGGCCATTGGCATACGGCCTGGCACATGGTAGATGCTTGGTATTTGCCAAAGAGAACATAGTCCTAAGAAGAGGAAAGGAAGACAGATGACAAACCCTTTGAAATGGTTCACTAAAACTGCATCACTCTGAGCTGCATAATGTTGAATGGTAATGGTCAGAGATGGGTGGGAGAGACAAGGAGCTGGTGAAAGAGTAGTGGGGTGGGGGGGTAGGAGCAAAACACAGGAAAGGGGGCCAGCAAAGAGTCCTGTCCCCGAAGAAATGCTGCTTGCTATCTTTGGGAAGACCTCTAAATGCCACTTATTTTTCCTACCATAGAAAGGACAGATGGGGCAGGAGGATTACCACAAGTTTGAGGCCTACTTGAGCTATACATACTGTGTTCCAGGCCAGTCTGAATTATGGACTGAGACCTTGCCTTAGGAAAAAAGAAAGCATAAAAAGGAGGGAAGTTCATCAGGTAATCTAGATGTGAACTTGCTTTGCCGCCTGTCATTGTGTTAGTTTCTTTTCCTGTTGCTGTGCTAAAATACTCTGACCAAAGCAAATTAAGAAAGAAAGGGAATGGGTTAGAGAGAGTGCTCAGTGGTTAAGAACATTGACTGTTCTTGCAGACGACCCCGGTTCAAATCCCAGCACCCACATGGTGACTAATAACCATCTGTAACTCCAGTTCCAGGGGATCCAACACGCACTTCCGTTCTACACAACATGGGTGCACTTATACACATGCAGGCATAATACTCATACACATAAAATTTGAAAAGAAAGAAAGAAAGAAGAAAGAGAAATAGGAAGGGAGAAAATAGAAATTGTGCTTTTTGAGTTGGAACTCAGAAAAGCTGGTAACTCAGCAGTAAGGGTCTGCAGGCCCCTGCCCTGAGGGAAGGACTCTGGGGGAACAACTACAGAATCCCACAATATTCCTCCCACTTGCTTAGCATGTCCTCAAGTACATAAGCGTTCCTAAGGGTGGCCTCTAGGTCAGGTGACTGATAGGCCCTGCTGGATTAACTCCTAAGGGAGAGACAATAATAAACCGTGTTTTAATCTTTGGGGCATATCAGAATGCCATGTATCCACCCAAAGTAGAGGTAAAACTCAGGTTCCACTCCTCAGACCTGGAGGAAGTAGCTTTCTCCCAGTGGTCCTTAATAAAAAGATGTTAATTTTTTACATGTTCAATGTGAAAAGGGGTCTGAAGTAGACCAGGAGGGAGGGGTCCATCCTCAGCAGCCTTCAAGCCTGCTAAAGTCTGCCTGACATAAGTGATGGGGAAAGAGAAAGAAGAAGAGAGGTGGAGAGGGGAGGAGGTAGAGACAGAGAGAAGGGGGGGCAAAGGGGAGGGGAGAATGCCTGCAGGTGGACGTTTGAAAAACTAGAACTTCTTGGCTAAAAGAGTAGATCAACCAAAGAAGAATCCAGAAAGGGGATCTGGGGATTCAGGGAGTGGAGAAGGCCTAGGCCTAGCTCCTACTCTGCCATCCAGAGAGCCGCTGTCACTTTCCAGCCTTGGCTCAGGTTCTTTGATGCTCTTCAGGCCCTCTTTGTAAAGAAGGAAGGTTCAGTAAAAATGTCAGTGACAAGCACAGCCTTCTGTAACTGCTGTGAAGAAGTCCACAACCTCCTAAGCTCTCATTCCAAATCTGTAGCAGCCCAGAAGTTTTCATAGTTAGGTGAGCATGTGAAGAGGCCTGTGAAGAGGCCCCAGTTTACCTCTCTCTGGATATTGGAAGGCCATGGTCTGGAAATTGGAAGGGATTTTAAACACAAACCCTCTCCAAAGAAAGCCAACCTAAAGCACACCCACTTCTGTCTGGATTGATCTTGCCCTTGCTTCAGTTTGTTCCTTGGGAAGGTGCAGACTCCATCTCCAGCTCACAGCACCATCTGGTGGATGATCTGGGCCACTGACCTTTGGGCTTTCTAGTTTTCAAGCTTTGTGTAATTCTAGACAAAAAGTGGTCTGTTAAAAACAAGCAGACTGGGTATAGTGGCAAAGGCCATTAATGCCTGCACTTAGCAGGCCGAGGTTGCCGGATCTCTGTGAGTTCAAGCCAGCCTTTTTTAACGTGACCAGTTCCAGGCCAGCCAGAGCTACCTAGTGAGACCCTGTCTCAAGACAAAAACACAGTGAAGACAGGCCTGCCACTCTCTAAGAGCAGTTCCCACCCTCTGTGCAAAATTACTGTTCGGAGTGTCACTGAAGATGAAAAAGATGAAATACACGTCTGCTGTTTTCAACGCTTCTTGTTCACACGCTTACCTCATACCTGACACTTACCTCATACTACCAGCTGGGATTAAAAAAAAACAAAACGACAACAAAAAACTAGATCAGACCTCTACGGTAGTTGTGACGACACCAAGAGTCAAGTTGGCCTCTGTTTGGAGGAAAGGGGCTTTTTATGTACCTGTCTTTCTTCCCTTAACCCCTAGTTGAAGACGGGGCAGTTCTGGACCTAGCGTTTTGTCTTGGCATTCTTGTGTGTAATCAAAGGCCTACTCCTATGGTAGCCTTCCACCAAACTGAAAAAAGACACCTTCACAGAACACCCAATCTGTGAGTGGCAAAAACAGCACCATCAAAAGATGTGTCTCCTGCGGGTGGGGAGGCATGTAGAGCTTCTGTCTAGGGCCAGCCTGTTTGTCCAGCCTCAGCTTTGTCACGGAGACAGGCGGCTACCCTTGCATTCTTTGCTTCCTTTTTCTTCTTTTCTTCCTTTACTTTTCTTTCTTTTCTTTCTGCTTAGTCTTTTAAAGATTTATTTATTTTTATTTTATGTGAGGAGTGTTTTGCCTGCATGTATGTATGTAAGCGTACTATGTGCTTTGCCTGCATGTATGTAAGCTTACCACGTGCATGCCTGGTGCCTGCAGAGGCCAGAAGAGGCTACTGGATCCCCTAGAATTGAGTTACAGATGGTTGCTAGCCACCATGTAGGTGCTGGGAACTGAACTTGGGTCCTGTGCAAGAGCAGCTAGTGCTCTTTGCTGAGTCATCTCTCCCACTTGCTTTTTAATCTTAAAAAGCAAAATATTAGTAACAGGGTAATCAAAGCAAAGAAAATTATTTTGGAAAATCTGCCTATGAACAGGCAAAATAAAAACCTCCATGTGTTAGAATGAGAGTTGAGAAAACTAAAATGCTTTAGAAGTGCATTCATGTGACAGGATGGTTAGCGTAGTTGGCTGATTAATTCTTCCTGTTTGTCCACCATTCCTTGTTCTGTTCCTCAGAGGGCTTAAGTGACTGTGGCAAAGAGAGGATGGCATTTCTATAAAGTAAGCAGGGACTTCAGAGATCACCTCCCATGTTGTCCAGCAAGTGAGGACCTTTAACTGAGTGACATGTCCAGGATCATACAGATGGTGGCAGAGCTGGAACTTGAACTCTGATCTGAATCTTTTCCACAGAGTTTTAGACATCTTATCTCTTCTCTCTCTCACAGGAAGGACATTTTTGTCTTCTCTATCTCCTATTGCACTCATTAGCTTCCTGATCTTTCTCTCTTTTTAAAAATATTATTTACTTATTTTTATTTTATGTGAGTATTTTGCTTGCATGTATGTAAGTGCACACCTGTCATGTAATGCCTGCAGAGGCCAGAAGAGGATGACAGATCCCCTGGAACTAGAGTTATGGATGGTTGTTAGCCAGCATGTGGGTGCTGGGAACTAAACCCAGGTCCTCTGCAAAAGCAGCCAGTGCTCTTAACCACTGAGCCATCTCTCCAGCCCTGATTTTTCTCTCTTGACATCTCAACATTAAAGAAAAAATACAATAATCATTGGCTATATTTTGATACATTCTGGTTTTGATTTCATTTTTAATTGAACCATACATGTATAAGACTAAAAACAAACAAATGAGAACCTTCTAATAAGTGACCTTATATATGGTGTGGTACTATTTCTGCTTACCCTGGAGAATGCATGCATAAGCTCGTGCTGCAGGGTAGCATGATTAAATCATCCCATCAGAGCAGTTATTTCTTCTTCCTCAGAGGTCCTTGTAATTAATTTGTTCTCCAAACTGCAACAACATTCTTACGTATATGAAGCTATTATCAAACCTTTCTTCATACCTCAGTTCGCTGTCCAAATATTCTGCTTTTTTAATATTTATTTCTCATAAGCTTACTACCTATATCTTTTATTCCTTTTTATTTTATTGCTTCTGTCTGTAACTTAGCCTAAGAACTCTTCCTAAGTCATCCTTAGGAAAGTTCCATCCATTGACTCTCTCTACTGCAAGCCCCTAAGCATGGCACCATACCCTAACCAAGTCAAGAATGACATTATAGCTGGGCGTGGTTGAAAAACACCTGCAGTCTCAGTCTCAGTATGTAGATGGAGGCAGGAAGATCAGGAGTTTAAGGTCATCCTTAGCCACAAAGAGGTGGTGGCCACCCTGGACTGCCTGAGTGAGACCTTGTTTCCAAATGACAGCCAAAAAAAAAAAAAAGACTTTGCATATGGTGGGGAGATTATAGTTTGTAAACATAAGCTTTTGTCTTTACACAGTAGCTGCAGATTTGCTAACTCATGTAATTATGGCATGATGTTAACTACCCCCACCATGTTTATTTAAGGTGAAAACGAGCCTCAGTAACTGCTTCTTGGAGAAAAGCATCTGAGAAAAATGTCAGTATCTTCTGGTAACGACACCTCACTAAAAATGGAATTTAAGTCTTTTTAAATTTTTTAAATGTTTTTCTTTCTTTAAAACTATTTTGAATTTTTGTGATTTTCATATACTATAATTTGATGGTATTTAGTTCCCCTACCCTATCTGCACCGCCCCTTGGTGCCCTCCCACCCAATTTAATGTATTCTATTTTACATATATAATACAACCTATAGAGTCTGATTTGTGCCTCCAAATGTCCTTCAGTGTGGATCTATCCACTGGAGCCTGGTCAACCTACCAAGAATCCCTTCCTTGTAAGAGACCTCCTCTCCCCTTCCCAGCAGCCATAAGTTGCCCAAAATTCCTTAGTTCTTACTTCCCCATGTCTGTGCTGGGATTTTGTCTGGTTTAAGCTTGCTAGGGGCTTGTGCCGTCACCATTGCTGTGAATTCATATGAGTAACTGACCAGCTGTCTGGAAGACTCTATTTCTCTGTCGTCATCCATCACCTCTGGTTCTTACAATCTTTCCATCCCCCTCTTCCACAATGATCTCTGAGAATTTTTGAGAATTTCATTCATGAATATTGTTTTTGCATTATTTTTCTCCTTCACAGTCACCCAACAACTAGAATTTAATTCTTATTGCAGAGTTCTTAAGTGGTATTTCAAAGATGAGGTTTACCATATGCAACACTGGTCTACAGTAGTAATGGAAAGGCAGGGGGTAAGTGGAGGGAGAGGTCTTCCCAAGTCCCCCTCTTCACCAGCAACTCATCTTTCATTTTGGGGATGGGCTTTTAAATTATCTTCTGTTATACCATGCAAAGACAAGGCTTCAACCTGGTCTCCCTGCCGCCCTCCTCATTTTCTGGATTGAATTCAAGAGCTAGCTCATAACTATCCTTAACATTATTTGGTCAAGGCAGTCTGATAAGCTAGGAGAGATGCTCCTCAGGTAAGAGTTTGATCCCAGGGACCCACATGATGCAAAGAGAGAACCAACTCCCATAAGCTATCCTCTGACTTCCACAAGCACACCATGGCACACACAATAAATAAATAATAAATACATAAATAGAGAAATATAAAAAAATTAAAGACAATCTTATAAAAATGTGGGGCCTAAATATCTGCCTTGAGACCAAAATTTCTAAGTGTTTAAGATATGTATAATTTGAGAATTTTTCTCTGATTCGTATGGAATCTGAAGCGTTCATTATGCCATTCAGAGCGGAAATGAGTTTGTAAGCCTGTTCCTTTTTATGCAGCTGCCAATTTATGTTCTGGAACTATTGTGACCTGGTGTAATGTTCTTGTAAGTTAATCATTTCTTTGTCTCCTCACAGCCTGCCACATATTGGAATGCTACCATGGAAAGGCCCAAGATATCATAAGTGCCATAGGGCAGGCTTTTGAACTCCGGTTTAAACAGTACTTGAAAAATCCTTCCTTGAATCCTTGTGAAAGGTCAGCCAAGAGTTCTATAATTATTTGACTTTCTATATTTCTGAATATTTCAAAATTAATATGAAATGAATTTTTTCTTCCAAATAACATAGTTTCAGGACAAAATGCTAGAGATGTTGCTTTTCTTCCATTCATACTTCCCCAGAGATCCGCTAAGTGACACTAAATGTGAAAAGTCAGCTACCCTGTGCGGGATGCAGTGAGGCATCATACAGTTCATGCCTAGATGAAACTCTTTTGCTTTTTAAAATATACCCCTCCCCAGATTGTCAATTTGTGTATCAACACATGTTGGGATTGGAGGTCTCTCTTTGTAAGGTGGTCTAGGAGAACAAAGAAAGGGGTTACCAGAAACTTTGATGCTGACTTTTTCCCAGGACAGCACAAAATCATGTAGGTTGATAGAATCAGCTCACTTGAGAAAGATTTGATTTGGATGGTGAAAATAGCTCAGTAGGTAAAAACACTTGCCATTTCAGTGATGACCTGAGTTCAGATCCCTGGAACTCAAGGGAAAGGTGGATGTGGTGGCATGCATCTGTAATCCCAGAGCTCCTGTGGAGAAATGGGAAGTGGAGACAGGAGAATCACCCAGAAGCTCCAGGGTAGCCAGCCTGGAGTGCATACCAGAGTCCTGCTTAAAACAAGGTGGAGGGCAAGAACTGACTCTCAAAGCTGTCCTTTGACCTCCACATGTGTACCTGCACTGTCAGACCACACACACACACACACACACACACACACACACACACACACACATACACACACACACACAATCATAACAAGAGTTGGTTTGATTTATTCTTTCTTATAAGAAACATTTACTAGTTCCAGTTTGGAAGAAAAGTCATTTGTTTCTTCTTCTTCTTTTTTTAACCCTGTTTCAATTTTAAAACAATTGCATGTTTACATAAATCTCCCCAACTTGTCACATGTGTAGTTCTTTATGAATCCCACACTTGTCTAGATTTGTGCAGACAAGATAGCTGGCCACAGATCTTTTTCATGTTCGTTTAGTAAACTAAGGCTGGGCCCTCTACCCAAAAAACAGTATCTAAATTTTCTCTGATCAAAAAATTTCCAATATGAAATGATTGAAGTAGATTGGAGGTACCCAGGAAGACTTGACATTTTTATGATCCTGTGACAAAACAGCCCTGAGTTTAGGAGGTTTGTTCTTTATCATCATCATTATTTATTACTGGAGAGAAACGCAAAAGCATCACGCTTGACGCTCTTTGTTGGCTTACTCCATTTGGATGGTCTACAGAAACCTAAACAATTCGGTGTTTCAGTCCAGATGTTTGACATCACTTAAGCACAGCAATAAACTTAAAACATGAATCCACAGTTTTTCAGGATGATTTGCTTGGCTCTGATCCCTTTGCAGTCCCTATAGCTTTTGAATTCCTGCCCTGCTTATTGGGATTTTTTTCCCTTTCAGCGAGGAGGTGCATCCTGATGGCCCAGCTGAGGAGAGAGATCATGACTATTACAATGCAATCCCAGGGAAGCAGCCGCCAGTAGGCGGCATCTCAGACGTGCGGATCAAGGTTCAAGCTACAGAACAAATGGCTTACTGCCCTATACGGTGTGAAAAGTTGTGCTATTTAGTAAGTAATGTTTTATTATTGCTGGTACCAGCAATGGGTCCCTACCCTTACCACTAGAGCCCTCAATTTGAGGATTTTCAAATGCGTATTTAAAGAAAGTGCCATCCTCCTCCAAAGCTGGGCTATTGAGTGAATCGCTGTCTGTACTAGATCGTTTTTCACTCCCAGTATCCTAGCCACAGCTTCTGCAGATGGCGTCATATCTGTAGTCACTGGGAAAACTAGGACCATCCAACCTGTCATCCTCATCTTCATCCTTCCCATCACTGTCTCTTTGTTTTCTTGATTCTCTTCCTGAGCATCTGTCTCGAAACGTAACCCTGTCCCTGTGTTCCCCACTCAGCCCCTCTTGCCATCTCTGTGCCCTCATTCTGCCCAGTAACCTCTGCCTCTATGTTGTTAGTCCTTTCTTTTCTGTCTGCAGGTGAATTTGACCCTCCGGTTCAGCCGACACCTTCGCACCTTCCTTTCCCTCACAGACCTCCAGGAGGCACTGCCTCCATGGCTGCTTCACTTCAGTACTCGCTACACCTTTAAGATTCAAACTCTGCTTGACAAAGAAATGACTTTGACCACGGTCACTAGTGGTTACATGCTAAATCTTTTCCCTTCTGAATTCTTCATCCATTGGTAGCTTTTGGTACCTGTTGACCGTCTGTTCTTTTGTGAAGCCTCTTCTGTTAGCTTCCAAAACATCGTCATCATGTCATCCTCTCCTTGAACTTCTTATAACACCCCAGTTCCTGCTCTCCCTCTCCAGCATTTTATTGTGGATATTTCAAATGCACAGAGAAGTCTAAAGAATTCTTCCGTGAACTCTCACATGCATAACATTTATTAGATTTGTTTTATCACATGTGTTGCCATTTATCTGTGATCCATCTTATACTTTTTCATATTTATGTGTGTGTGGTATGTGTGCACTTGTGTATATGTGCTCACACGTGGAAGTCTAAGGTTGATGTCAAGCATCTTCCTCCATCACTCTCCACTTTATTTACTGAGACAGGGTCTCTTGCTGAACTTGGAGCTTGCAAACTGGGCTAGTCTAGCCAGTCAGCTTACTCCAGGGATTTCCCCCTTCTCTGCCTCCCAGGTCTTGGGAGTACAGGGGCCACCAAGCCACCTGACATGGGTACTGGGGACGGGAGCTGCAGTCCTCAGGCTTGCCTAGGGACGTTGTACCATGGAGACATCTCCCCAGCATTTTTGATACTTTTAAAAAGCAAACTCTATCTTATTTTCTTTTATATCATATTTTCTTCCATCTTCTACCTGAAAACCCAAGCCCTGCCTTGACAGTGTAAGCGCTTCCCATGGCTCTTCCCTGGGCTTGGATCTTGCCTCTAGCCGGTGACCTTTCTTCTACTTTCTCTGACCTTGGCCTTTATCCATCTCTTCAGCTGCAATACCAGCTTGCATTATATCAATTACTTCTATCAAGGTTGAAGTCAGCATTTTCTTAACTCTAAACTCAATTCCTTGTTTTAGACTGTCTCACTATGCATCCCTGGCTCATCTGGAACTCACTATGTTGTCCATTCCAGGCTGGCCTTGATCTTACAGAGACCCCCTGCCTCTGCTTCCTGAGTGCTGGGATAAAAGGCATTGCCACCATGCCCAGCTCAGCTCAGTTCCTCTATAGATTTAGTGATGTTTATTCATGGAACTTCCACCTATCAACAGATTTTGCTTTTTTTTTTTTTAACATTTTGGGGCCCGTATCAACTTAGTCTTTAATAGCTAGGACTCTACCATACAAATATCTTTGTCATCCACCCAAACTTTACTGCACGTTTTAAAATTCTGGTCCCACTTGCTTAGACGATTCTGAAAACCACATACTTGTTACTCATTTCATTCCCTAAAGCTACATGATATTCCTAGGTAAATATATTTAATTTTTAAAATGTTTGTATGTGTATACTTGGTCATGTGTGAAGATATGTGAATATCACATACCCAGGGTCAGTCCTTAGCTTCGACCTTGTTTGAACCAGGGCCTCTCTTGTTGTTTGCCCCTTTGTACGCCAAGCTAGCTGTTCCTGGGGCTTCTGGAGATTTTCCTGTCTCTGCCCCATTTGCCTATAGTTGCACTGGGATTTGCCTACTGCACTGGGGAGCCAAACTCCTTTTTTCACACTTGCACAGCAAGTACTTTATCCATTGAGCCATCATCTCTTCAGCCCCAGATAAATCTTCTTGAAGGCATTAGCACCTCTTCACTCTGGTGCCGAAGACACTACATATATAGACAGGAGATGATTAAAGCCTGTTGGTTGGCTGGAGTTTCAAGAATGAGAAGTGAGTCTGGCACAAACCTCAGTAGAGTAGGGTTCTAGTCTGTAAACTCAAAATTAGAGATTGACCACATGGTCACTGTTCAGACACACACCCTAAAATTCACTCTTGGGGGCCTGGGGGGTAATCTACTGGATAAAGTGTTTGTTGAGCAGTTACAAGGGCCTGGTTTCAATCCCTAGAACCCACATTTTAAAAAATCTGGGTGTGGTGGCATATGCTTATAATCCCAATGCTGTAGAAAGGGAGGCAGACAGAGAGAGATTTCAGGCTCTCTGGCCAGCCTAGCCTAGGCAGTGAGCCCCAGGTTCCAGTGAGAGACCATTTCTAAAAAACAAGATGAGTAACTCCTGAGGATGGGGAAGAGTGAGGTCAACCCAGGGTTGGCCTCTGGTGTCCACATGCATGAACACTCTTGTATAGCCAAGCACATTTGTGCAGCCTTGCACACACTCACACACACATGCACACACACTCACACACACACACACGTTAACTAATTAATTTGATTAAAGAATCACTTTCTGACTGAGACCGAGTACTGGAATGCGACTTCTGGAGTAGAAGAAAGAGCCCTAGTGACACAGGGCACAGTCTTTATGACATCCCCACCCCCACATCAAATCCACCTTGCAATGCCCAAGGAACACCCGAATTCTCAGTTTCCCTCCTGTCAGACGTCTCTGTGTCAGAAAGTGAAGCTGCCTCTTGTATTCTCTTCAGTAGTATTTTTTTTAACTTTACGAATGTGCACTGTTTTTAAATGTCCCACAATTTCTTGTTTGTACAGCCCGGGAACTCCAGGCGCAGCAGCGAATATGAGAACTGTGTGGAACAAAGCAGGGCACTAGGTAGGTGCAGCGCCCCTCCCAGACGCCACTCCTGACTCCTTTTGAATCATATGAATGTATGGGCCCTGTCTCTTACATCCTTCATGGAAAAGCCAGGTATGGAACTAAACACAATCCTCCGGCTACATGCTTCCCAGGGGAGCTGGATGCCATTGGTGCATCACTACATAGCTTTGTGGTTTTCTATTGCTCTCATATGATGACCAGGCTGGTGACTGTGCCTGTGGGCTTTGCGCTGCTCTGATGTCATGAAAACCCTCACTGGAAAGGGGCTTCCTTTGCTCAAAACTCAAGGAAGTTCCATCCAAGACCAGGCAGTAAATTAATGTGGAAATCAATGTCTGCCAAATCCACTGGTATTAGGATAAAACCTCTGTTCCAGTCAACAAAAGGAACACAAAGGAGACCTGAGATGTAAGTGCATCAGTTACTGGCCACCACTGTGTCCTGTCGGGGAGCTACTTGTTCTGTCTCACTCATGACTTCTTCATTTACTCACCAGTTTTCTCAGTGACATTTGTTTGAGGCACTTCATGGTTCAGCTGCTGGGCTAGACAGTAAGCACAGAGGTTCAGCTGGCATCATGTAGCTTGCAGTTGTCAGGAAGACATCTGTAAAGAGACCAACCTACGACTGTTTCCAAAACCCAGGTTGCTATTGGAACAAGATGTTATGGAAACCAGACTTCATCTGGAGGTACAGAAGGTCACCCCAAGGAAGTGACAACCAGACAAAAACCTGAGGGATGTGAGAGGGAATTTTCTAGGTACAGGTCATGAGAGAAGAGAGAAAAGAGTGTGAGGAACAGATGGGGAGAAGCAATGAGTTGGATGAATGTGCACCAGAGCTCAAATGAAGTGTTCAGGACCAGTTCCCAGACCACTGCACAGAGAGAGAGCACAGGGGCAAACTCAGAAAGATGACTCTCAAGTCTGCAGCAGAGTCCCGAGGAACTCCAAATTTCAGCTTGTCAGCTTCTTTACTTCCTGTCCCCTGAGCACTCAGCATGGCTCTGACCTCAGTCACCAGCTTCTGAAGGGAGTTCGTAATATTTATCAGGGCTTCTAAAGGGAAACTGCACATCCTAAATGACCACACAAATGGGAGGGAATAGAGCAGGCGTCGCCTCCTTTCCTGCAAGAGTTCTCACCTTGATTTTCATTCTCATTTTGACACATTCTTCCTCCAAAAGTGTACATTTACAAAAGAAGTAGTGTGCATTTCAACTTCATTCAAGACGTTCCTTTTTCAAAGTTAAGTCTTATCATGGTGTCCAGTTTATTGTTTTGCTTTCCTTGATTCATTTCACCTTTAAACCAACATGTGACCCCTAGTTATATATATATATCCACACACAGATACAGACACAGATACGACACAGACACACACACACACTAAAGTCCTGTAAACATAATAAGACACATGAACAGACTTTATAATAAAAATTTGTTTGGAGTCCAAGATTTGTTTTTCAAATGATGTCTGCTAATCCTTCTTTCGTTTTTTTTGTTTTGAGGGGTTTTGAGACAAGGGTCTCCCTATAGCCCCAGCTGGCCTGGAACTCACCATGTAGACCACTATGGCCTCCATCTCACAGAAACCTGCCTGCCCCTGCCTCCTGAGTGCTGGGATTAAAGGCGTGCACCACTATGCCTGGCTGGTAAATGAATATGTTTTTAAACCACAAATACAAAAAAAAAGGTTCTACTGCACACTTACATTTTAAATAATGGCTCTGTGGTAATAATTTTAACAGAGAACTTTTCAGAATCTTGGGAGGAGAGAGACTGTGTTTTTAGTTGGAAAAAGTCTTTGGGCTAGGAGTTTGCCCCTTAAAATCACTGAGATACAGCACTGAGTCCATGGAGAAGCAGAAGTCAGATTCCAGTGCTAGGAAGCCATATCCCCAAACCTCAGCCCTCAAATCATACTGCGACAGAACTCAACCCATGCCCCCAGAAGGTACAAGTAAAGTTCGTCCTATTCTGGTAAAGAAAGTTCATTACCATAGTGTCCTTTCACCTAAGACATCCATAATTAAAGGTTTCCTGTCTCAGCCCCTGCCTGTGACTACTTGTTTAAAAAGTAATCCAAGTGCCAAGTGTGTTGGTGCACACTTTTAATCTCAGCAGTCGGGAGTCAGAGGCAGAGAATTTCAGTAAGATCATGGCCAGGCTTGTCTACACAGTGAGTTCCAAGTCAGCCAGGGCTATGTGATGAGACCCTGTGTCAAATAAAATGAAATAAAATAAAGATCTGAAATTCTTAACCAATGAACAAATTAGCCAATTGCCAAAGTAACAAATAAATAATTCCATGGTATTTCCCTGAGACCCATACATAAGCACTTGGGAGATATCTATATGAATATTCTCAATACGGTCTGGCTTTTTCCTCCCAAGACATTTATTCAAGCATTGGCTTAAAACTTGAATTCTGGGTATGTTATAAATATTGCAATGGTCGTTGAAGGAGTTTGTTGTGTTTATTAGCTGATATATAAAAGAGTCATATCCTTAATACTAAATTTACATATGAAAAATTATTAGTGTAATAGAGTTATGATTCCCCAATATTCAAGTTAAAATGGAAATGCTAATTTTATTTATTCATTTATTTTTATGTGTATGAGTGTTTGAATGCATGTGTACCATATACATGCAAAGCTCCGAGAGGCCAGAAGAGGGCATCCAATCCCATGGAACTGGAGTTATGGGTGGTTGTTAGCCACCATGTGGGTGCTGGGAACTGAACCTCTGCAAGAACAACCAGTGCTCTGAACCCCTGAGCCATCTCCCCGTACTCGAAATGCTGATATTTTCAATCAAAATGACATTAAATTTCCAGAAACTCTGAGTTTTCACTTGAAAAAATTGTCAAAGTAACAATGTGTGTGTGCGCGCGTGCGTGCGTGTGTGTGTGTGTGTGTGTGCGCACGCACGTGTGTGCGCGTGCGTGTGTGCGCGTGCGTGTGTGTGTGTGTGTGTGTGTGTGTGTGTGTGTGTGTGTGTGTGTTTTCTGCCACAAACTTTGAGGCAGTTTGGATAGGTTCTCAGAGAAACATTAAGCATAAAGAACATTTGGAATACATTATAGCTTGCATGTGTGGCTAAGCTCCCATCAACCACAGAGTCTAGCCTAGAATGAGTTTAAATGTGAGTATGGTATGGGGCTCTTTAAAACATTTTAAGATCACACTGAGCACTTGAATATGATGGTGCATTTGTAAAAAAAAAAAAAAGAATGGGAGTTTCAAGGGAGCCCGGGTAAGAACACCGGGGCTTCTGTGCATTCCTTTGGTTGGTAAACTTGATGTGGTAAACTCAGGCTAATGCTTTTGTGAGGAGCACATGAGTCAACACCGTGTGAGAAAGGGTGATTCGGCATCTTCAGAATATGATGGAGTCGTTTGCTCAGAAAGGGACGAGTAGCTGACTGAGTAGAGATTCAGCCATTTACTCATTTAGCTGACAGTTTTCTCTTGAGCACTTTTTTCTACTGCAGACATTAGAAGATGCACACATATGAGCAAATGAGTTTTAGTCCTTCCTCAAGGAGCCAAGGTATCTGCAGTCTCAAGGGTGAGACGAGGCAAGTAGAGACTGGCACCTTCTGAAGCCTGGAGGGGGCAGGATTCTGGAAAGCTTCCAGAAGGAGATGGTTGCACCACAGAATTTAAAGTACAAATAGGAATTAGGTGAAGGGAACGGAGAAGATAAATTCCACTAAGACGAGTGCTACACAGCACTGATGAATAGGCAAAAACTGCGCAGTCATGGGAACTACTTATTGAACACCTACTTAAAAGGCGGGCACTGCATCCAGTGTCTCACAAACATTATTTCCTTTCATCCTTACAACTGTATTTTACAGATAGTAAAAATTGAGTCTTACGTTAATTAACTTGCTCCAGGCCACACACACAGAAAGAGGCAGCGTGAGGATTTGAACTCAGGTCCCTATGAGTTTAGGAGCAGGCCTCCTTGTCACTTGTAAGCACTTGTAGTCATATTCCACTTGCACGAATGTTTTTATGGACAGGAGCTCCTAAATAAATGATTGTTTGCTATCTCAAGGCCCAGCACTTAGAGCATTTGTTGATAAATAAATTAGATGTAAATCTACCTTTCAAATCTTGATCATTTTAAGTCTGCAGAATTAGAGTTTGGGGACAAAGTGTAATCTGACTAGGTCATTATTATTTCTAAGCTTATGCAGCTAAGGAGGAGCTTATGCTAAGAGTGAAAGATTTACCTTTAGTCCTTGATTTCATTGCAGTGACCTTTAAGTCACTTTTTATTTGGAAAATAAGTTTAGACACCATCATTCATAAATCCAAGCAAACAGAAACTAACATGTCACAAAATACAGTGCCCAGCAGACCCCTCCCTCTGTAGAGACTCACAGTGCCCTGCTAACCCCTCCCTCTATAGAGACCTACAGTGCCTGCTGACCCTTCTGTCTGTAGAGACCCCACAGTGCCCTGCTGACCCCTCCCTCTGTAGAGACTCACAGTGCCCTACTAACCCCTCCCTCTATAGAGACCTACAGTGCCTGCTGACCCTTCTGTCTGTAGAGACCCCACAGTGCCCTGCTGACCCCTCCCTCTGTAGAGACCCCACCCCTCCTTCAGGATTTCCTGCATCAAAGTGTGAATTTGTACGACCTGTAGTAGCTGACAAACAGTAATGTATGAAAGGAGGACAGGTAGTCTTCCCACTGGCCTCTCTTGCTTGGTGTTTTCATAAGTTTCCAGACTATGAGTTATAAGAACCATAGGCCTATTCACCATGATGTGAAGTCTAATATGAGATTTCCCTTTTGGACTGCATCAAAGGGGTTTCATGACTGAAGCACTAGAAGCACTGTTTTGTGGTAAGTGCCATGACTCTTGGTGTAGTGAAGCATCACTGCTTCAGATATGTGGCAGTCCTGTAATGCATAGAGCTAAAACTATAAGTGTAATGTTTAAACAGAGAAGCAAAAAATTATCCTGGTGTTCTTAGGGATGATATAGAGAACTTCGTGTTGCCAGGCCATGAAATCCTGTGCTAATATCCACGCATTCAGTAACAGTTACATGCCAGGCACATGAAGGGTTATAGTTATGAGCAAAGCATACATTACCTCTTTCATGGGACATGCAGTCTAGATGCAGGACAGACCTTAAACAAGTAATAGAAATGGGAGAATTAGCTAATTGTGTGGAATGGCCTTCAAATGTTAAGTACACACTTCTAGAAAAGCAGAGACCCCCCCCATCTAGTCTTGGAGGATTATGGAAGCCTCTTCTGAAGAAAGAGATGCTTAAATTGACATCTGAAGGGTAAGGGTGATGGAAAAGGGGAGAGAAAAGCATGTCAATCAAAGGAGACAGCCCTTATGATGACAGCATACTGCAGGAAGGCCCTGGCAGAACCTGGGGAGGAGGGAGGAGGAAGGGAAGCCAGGTAGATAGAGCAGGACTTGCAGCTCATTAGATTAGAGAAGCAACTGGAAGGTTTTTAAATCTCTGAGAAATATGATTGGATTTTCAGTTTTAAAAAATCTTTGACCATTTTGCCCTAGACATAGTGGCACATACCTTTAGTCCCAGCACTTGGGAGGCAGAGGCAGGTGGATCTCTGTGAGTTTGAGGCAAGCCTGGTCTACACAATGAGTTCCAGGCAAGCTGGGGCTACAGGAAGAACTTGTCTCAACAAACAGACAAAACGAAACAAAAGACCATGTTGTCCAAAGTAGGTAAAATAGAATGGAGTGGGAAAGAACAGGCCAAGAAGAGAGGAAGAGATAACCGAAGGGTAGAATCCATTCCATTGAATAACAGTGCAACATTAGCAATCAGTGCAAGGCTGTGCTTGAGAAGAAAAAAACTCAAGAGTAGAAAAAAGCCAGACTTCCCATTCTTTTTCTTTTTCTTTTTCTTTTTTTATTTTAATTTTATGTGTATGAGTGTTATGCCTACACGTGTGTAAGTGCACCCATGTCATGCAGTGCCCACGGAGGACAGAAGAGAGCATCAGATCTCCTGAAACTGGAGTTACAGGCAATTTTTAGCCCCGTGTGGGTGCTGGGATTTGAACCTGGGTCTTCTACAAGAACAGCCAGTGCTCTTAACCACTGAGCCATCTCTCTAGCCCTCACAAACTTTCCATTCTTAAGAGTGTATTTGATCCATGTAACCATTGGTTTACTTTTAATTTAATTTAATGCAGAGGGAGTAAGAATTTGCATTAAGTATGTTCTTTTTAAAAGGGAGAGGGCATAGATATTCAAGATCAATGTGAAATATATTTCCTTATTGCTGGACTATCACTCTGAGCTGCAGACTGATGCTGTTTGCTCAACGGTCCTTTTCTTCCACTGGTCATTTCCTTTGGGTCCTGTTGCTTCTTTCCTGCCAGCTTTTGTCATTGGGCCAACTCACAAAAGGAATGAGGCAGCAAGAAGGGCAAAGAGAGGTGGCTTTTCCTCAGACTGGTGCTTTTCCGACCTAAACGTCAGTGTTCAGTCTTGGTTTGGTGTGGTCCTGACTTATAGCTTCCTGTCACTCCTCAACTCAAATATGATTTACTGTTTATAAAGCAAACTACTAATCGTTACAGGTATTTCCCAGGTGAGAGGGATGCAGTCCTCTCGAGTGGATCTCTTTGATGACCCCTGCTACATTAACACACAGGTGTTTCACAGTACACTTGACTGTGCTGGAAATGAAAGCTCAGTTCAGCCACAGAGGAGCCCATGGCATTGTGGAAGTAAGTACCTACACCTCGTCTATTCATTTCTTGGGGACGTGTCAACCAATTACTATAAACCTGAAGTCTTAAATCAGCAGAATTCTATTCTCTCAGTTATGGAGGTCACATGCCCCAAATCAAGGTGTCAGCAGGACTGGATCTGCCTGCATCTGCCTCCTGAGTGCTGGGGTTAATGGCTTGCACCTTCTTTTTAAAAAAAAGTTTTTGCATCACATTTATTTGTTATTTGTTTATTTATTTATTCATTTATTTATTTATTTATTATTTGTGTGTGTGCTCACATACATACCTCCACATGCACAAGCATGGACCACTTGTGGGAGTCGGATCTCTCATCCACCACATGGATTATAGAGATTGAACTCAGGTTATCAGACTTGGAGGCAAATGTTTTCACTTCCTAATTCTTTCTTGACCTCAGTCCTTCTCCATCATTAATAAAGAATAAAGCTTTGTGGAGATATGGATATCAAGAATTTAGCATGTTGCTTTCAAATAATTCTTCCAAACGCTTTGAATTTATTTTCAATTCTTTTGAGTTTCTGATGTGTGTTTTGGATGCAGGAAGGACTGTCAAAGCCAGAAGATAGTCTTGAATTTGTTTATTTGCATGAGGGACAATGGCCACTATTTCTGTTTTGTCCAGTGGAAATATTAATTTTATTTATTTCAGATTTCTTGGTAAGACATCTATCTACACAGCACTGAAGAAAGATGGCTGTGCTCTCCAGTCGTATACTGTGGGTCAAATACAATAAGGCGAGCCAAATTGCTTCTAGGGGTAAATGCATAAGTAGAAACATAAATAAATAAAAGCAAAAGTCTCCAACCATCTGAAAAATACACAAAAGTGTTTTTCATAAAGTACCGAAGCTTGGTGGGTTTAGAGATTGGCTTCATATCAAATCTGGTTTGCTCCAAACTTGGAGAACCACTCCCTGAGAGAAGCCTTTCAGCTAGCTCAGAAGTTTCTCTGAGCAGCCAAAGCCAGCTTTCCAGCCATTGCAGTTAAGATGGCACGATGAAGCTTAGAGGGGTATGTTGCTGGGCCCAGGCTTCCACAGACTACCTTACCTCTCTAAATAAGTGAGCCCTCAGAATCAGCCCTTTGGCAAGTGGTCTATCTTTCTGAAAACTTTCTATGATCACTCTTGGCACCCAGTCCAGCCAAATTGGGTATCTGGAAGCAGATACTAAGGTGAGGGTGGCATGCAAGGTCTTTATGGGCAGTATCTGGAAGCAAGGAGAGAAAGTAAGATTGGCAGAGGGGGAGGTGGAACTATAGTGCAGGCCTGTGAAAGCCATGGTTCTGTCAAAGTTGTCCTACATTGGGCCTGTCTGTATGGGCAGTTGGTCCTTCCTTGAAGGAGGATGTGGGCAATGAATTTCTGTCTACCACAGAGGACATCTTGTGAGATGGATGATGGGGAATCAAATGAATTCATATAGCTGCAGTAAAATGATTCATTTGCTCAGTATGAAATGTCCTATGTGGATAAGGTAATATTTGTTACAGGGATGGCTTTAAAAGACATTTTGTGAAGTGCACACGTGGCAGCTTTAGCTCATAGAATGTTCAGAAATGTAACATCTTAGACTCCTAAGTTAGTAGGAGCAAATTAGATGACCTGGAATGTATTTTGATTTATAACTCTAGTTTTGTTTTGTTTTTTATTTTTATAATTGAGTGTTCACTATAGATAGATGATAGATAGATAGATAGATAGATAGATAGATACAAAGAAAAGAGACAACCTTTTGTTATAGTCAATTTGATGATATGAAAAAGCAAAATTAATTCCTGTTGTTAGCTGAAAACAAGGCCTGCCTTATCCACAGAGGTGTTTTCCAGACTGTAGTCTTTTTCATGTCACCCTTTTCCCCTCCCTGCATTAGTGTCAGCGTGTTTAATCATGTTTCCTGATACTCTAGCTTTCCTTCCTAATAGGCTTTAAAGTACCATAACGCTCCTGGGCTTTTGCTGACTCCTTGAGGTTAATTCCAGCCATTTCTCCCGCCAAAAAAAATTAAGTCCAAGTTCAAACGCATTAAAACATGTTGGACTCCTGTTTTAAACCTCAGCAACCCAGGGTTCAGGGACCATTGCAGAAGAGGGTATGGAAAAACTGTAAGAGCCAGGGATGGTGGATCACTATGAGGAAACAGAGTTTTCCAGGCATCTGGGAACTTGCTCATATGAAGTCACAGCTATGGTGACAGCATGCACAAGACCCATGCAAACACAATCCAGACAAAAACCCAGCATAGAAGTGGGGAAATGGGCAAGAAGCCCCAACCTTAGCTGAGGAGCTATTAGCAGCTGATCACTGCTGGGTGAGGGAGAGTTGGTGTTCTTTGAGGGAGTGATGCTAGATAAACTGACCAGGCTCCAGTGGATAGACTCACACTGAGGGACATCTGGGACACAATCTTGACGCGATAGGCCTTAACATATATGACAGGATGCATGAAATCTGGCAGGAGGTGGGCTATGGAGGGGTGTAGATAGGGGAAAAGGCCTAAATATGATTAAGATGTATTGTATGAAATGCACAAAAATTCCATAAAAAATGTTGGCTTAAGAAAATCTGGTGAGATAGAGCAGGAGTAACTTTTCCACCTATTTTTGTATAAAATTTCTTAAATGGACCTTCAGTCTTTCTTCTGTAATTGTTCTCCTGGTTCCTTCTTCCTTAAAAGTCTCTTTTATCCTCCTTTATCTAGACAAACTTACTGATCAATCAGCACAGGATGAAAACAAGCAAACAAAACCCCAGAGTTCTGAGTATCTCCTAAAGTGCTCTTGGAGTTCCTTCACCCACCCCACACACTGCTAATGTGAAAGCCCCGTATCCATCCCGCACCCTGCTACCATAATGGGTCCTCCACCTATCTGCACATTGCTAACACGAGTCTCCTGCGTTCACCCCCCACACTGCGGCTAGCATGAGAGTTCTGACACAGTCTTTATCTGACAGCAGCAAGAGAGTTTCTTTAGTTCCACTATGATCAGTCTAAACTGCTGTAACAAAAAAAGCTCCGAAACACTACAGTATCCTATGAAAAGGATTGGTTTATTTCTTTTTGCCTAATGGTTCAATGCCTATCCTTGGTGGCCCAGGATAAGGATGAGGCTGAACTGCCATTCTTGACATCTGGCTTCCATCTCTGGTTCAAGGTGCCTGCTTGGGTTCTCCTCTGTATTCAGCCAGGGAGAAGAAAGGCCAGAGTAATGCATGCACACACCTTTAAATGATAGGACCCAGAGTGGCAGACATGATTTCTTCTCACTCAAAGACTGCAGTCATTTCTTCACTTGCCACTGGCAGAACTCAGACATGTGACCTTACGTCCCCAGAAGTTACTCTGTCTGGGTGCCCAGATAAAGCTTGGAAGTTCTGGAATGTAGTGGAAGGGTAGGTAGGGACTGATAGAGAATTAGCTGTCTCTGTCGCAGTGCACCTTTGTACCTCTCAGATGTCCATGTGGAACCCTGTGCACTGCCGGCTTCCATGCGGCATCTAGGAGAGATCCTTATTGTCTGCCAAGATGTCTTCCCCCTCCACACTCAAACCTGATGGTGGGATAAGAATAGGATAACTGCACTAAAACTCAGGTTCACAAAGGGAGGCATGCAGTTGCAGAGGGATGTAGCCCTATGCTATGCAAGAACTCTGGAGGCTTTCTGAGCTAGAGATGGAGACGTTTGCTTGGACCCCAGCTCAGCTTTTTGAGAAGACTCTTGTTCATTATTATCTGTGCCCTGCACCTGGGCCTCTGGGTTATTCCTGCCAGCATCCTCCATGAGTTGCCTTAGAGCAGGTGCTGGGGATGTGCCTCTCCAGAGTCTTTGCCGCTTTGCAGCCTGCTTCTTGTTGATATGGGCATGAGAGATTAGAATTTATTTCAGGAGCCAAACCCATAGACTCGAGTATTTTGAATTCTTTGGCAGTGAAATTTCTTCGGAAACTGAGTAGGATTCTACTCCATTTGAGCAGAGTTCTTCCACATGAAGTTTTAGAGACTATTCCTTTATTGTCACTGCACTGTCTGAAGGCTCTGTAGTAATGCACTCTCTGGTAATTTTCTCCATTTTATCAGACCAGTTCTCTTTTAGGTTTGTCAATTTTATTGATCTTTCTGAAGTATCTGTCTTTTAATTTCATAGGGTTTTGTTGTATATTTTCTATTCGATTAATTTCCATTTTTATCATATTTTAGTATGGTTTCATCTGATGTTCTTTGGATTTTCTTATCTCTCTTTTATATGCTTAAAATTTTTAAAATTTGTTTAATTTTATGTGTATGAGTGTTATGCCTGCTTGTGTGTAAGTGCACCCGTGTCGTGCAGTGCCTGAGGAGGTCAGAGGAGGGTGTTGGAGCCCCTGTAGTTATTGATGGTTGTTAGCCACCATGTGGGTGTTGGGATTGGAACCCAAGTCTTCTGCAAGAATAGCCAGTGCTCTTAACTGCTGAGCCATCTCCCCAGTCCCCTCTCTTTTATAGGATTTATAATTTTATTACTACTTGACTTTTTATATTTTAGATCAGAGTGGGTGTAACTTACTTTTATCTATGTGAATTAGTTTCCCAAACACTATGGCTTAAATAATCTCTCTCTTCCCAGCAGCACTCTGTTGCACTGAGCTCCTCCCACATGTGCATCTATTTCTGGGCTCCTGATTGTTTCCTCTATTGGGCCAGTTCTCCTTTCCACAGCAATTTATTCACTACCATATACAAGTGGACACATCTTTGTAATTTTCTCAAGAGATGCATAATTCTTCCTTTATATTGCAAGCAATCTCTCTGGGCATTGTCTTTTTGTTGTTGTTGTTTTGTATTTTGTTTTGTTTTGTTTTAACACAGCGTCTCAGTAAGTAGCCCTGGCTGACCTGGAACTCTCTGTAGACCAGTCTGGTCTGGCACTCACAGAGACCCACTTACTCCTGCCTTCCAAGTACTGGGATTAAAGTCATGTGCCACTACACCCGGCCTTCTAGGCACTATCTTAGCTTCTCAATTTTGCTTAACATTTTTTTGTCAAAAATTAATAAAAAGTTTTTAGTCACTTTATGGCGCTAGATGTATTTTTATTTATTCATTTTATATAACCTTCACATATCTGGTAATTCACACTAATAAACTATATTCAGTTAATCCTCAGTCTTTGTAGGTTTTATAACTGAGAACTAGCTAAAATGTAGTTGTAACCCTCAAATCAATACTCAGAATGCTTTGGTAGTGATTTGCAGACATGTATAGAGCCCCACAAACTCTCATTCATCTGAGGCATGCTCCCAGCTGAGGCTGGACAAGGGAAAGCACTACCTTGTTTTGGTTTTCATGGGATAGGGAGTGTTTAAATCAGGTGTGCATACCTGTAATCCCATTACTTGAGATGCTGAGGCAGGAGGAATGCATGAGTTCAAGGCCACACTGGGCACATATTGAGTTGAGAACAGTCTGGGCTATATAGTGAGACTGTCTCAGAAAATGAAAAAACAAAGGAAGAAACAAACCAACAAAAAACCCAAATGTCCTTTTGTGGTGTATTTAATACCAACTTTTTCACATTTTTGTACTATTTATTAATGATTTCACTGCTTAAAATATTCCCCAAGGATGGTATTAAAGTACTGTCTAGTGTTTTCTAAGTGCGAGAAAACTATGATGTGCTTTAAAGAGAAAAGTGTATGTTTTATATAAACATTGAGCAACTGTGAATTACAATGCTGTTGACTATGAGTTCAGTGTTAATATATACTAAACCTGGTCTCTTAAAACAGAAACCCACATAAAATAAGAGTGTGTTGATTGATTATGTTGCTGTGAGTTGAGGCTTGCAGGAATGGAAACTCTATTTCCTTTAGGAGTAATGGCTTGTTTTTGGTGAAATCAGTGTTTACAGCAACTTTATAAAGCCTAACTACTACTACTAAGCAGACCTGACTGGACTTGCAGTTCTCTACAATAGGGTATGAAGTCATGTGTTGGGGGAGAATAGGGTCAACTTTTGAAAACTGAATCTTTCCCCTCAACTTTGACACTTTTCTCAAAGTTTGTACCTTCCAGTTATATCCTTAGTTACAGGACTATCCTGACTTTTGCATGCATTTCATTCAAAAGCACTACAGATGTTCAAGCAGAAATGCAAACAATAAAGAATGGTATAAAGTGAAAAGATTAAAATCTCCTTCCAAGCCTTAATACTATATCCAATACTCTAGATGTCAACCACTCTTCTGAGTTCCTTTGGGATTCTGGTGGATAGTTAGGGATCTACTACTTGCCCCTATTTGCCTTTCTCTACTTCCTTTAAGAGTGTGAATAAGTTATGGTAACTCCCTTCTATACGTGCTTATCCAACTCTTGTTTTAGAGATGGATCTATACTAAGCACATGAGTTCCTTATTATTTTCAGTTTTTCCACAGTAGCAAGGTGGTGGATAATGTATCATAGTATTTGGTTGCACTTAGTGAGGAGACCACTAAGTGGTCCATAGTTTGATTTGTTTTTGTTTCCCAGATTAAAACGAATTAACATGTATAATTTTTAAAGTTAAAATGAATGGGAAAACCATCACATATTCTCCTTTTAACAGAATTCGATGTTTAGCAAACATATGAATGATTGAACTTACCCAGCACTGTGTCTTGTCCTTGTGACACTCTGAGAACCTATTAGGAAAATCTCTGCATCCTCCAACTGGCCCATAATCTGCTTGACTCTTTTCAAGATGATATAATGTCTGTTTTTCTATTGTTTTGCCCTTGTCCAAAAGCTGTCCATAATCTCATAATAAACCATCACACTAAGATGCGTGCACTCACACAGATACATGCCCACATGCATTGCCTCACACTCATGTAGAGCCTATCCCTGACACAAACACACACGGGACTGTTCATTAGAAATTTTCCATTGTGCCTGAAAGCAGGCAGCATCAAGGCCAACTACAAATATTATTCATCAGTCTGGACACATTTCATCAGGCTTTTTCTGGCAGCAACAGAAAGATTTGATTATTTGTAGAGGAGAATTATTTCCAGTCATTAGATTTAGAACTAAAGTTCTCTTTACTAAATATATTTGTGGTGATATATCAAAGCTGTCTTATGCAAAAAGAAGTTTGTAAGTAGGGACAAAACTCCAACATACTAACAAAGGAACTGGATTATCTCTATATGGCACTACTGGTGCCTACACTGATGACTTCATAGTATGGTGAAATACAAGTTCTAAAGCAAGTTCTAAAGCATAGAGTTCAGTGTATTTCTCATTGGTGAGACCCTTCTATTAGAACTGTAAATTTTCCTTTGTGTTAAGAAAATGAAGAGTGGTTTCTTTGTATTTCAAAGCACCATGCCTGGTTTCTATGATTATTTTCTTTGCTAATTTGCCATTAAACATGTACCTTTTACTGGAATTCAGTCATAAAAATTTATGCAGTTACTTCCTTTTTTTGGTGTTTTTTGTTTGTTTTGTTTTGAGACAGGGTCTCATTGAGTTGTACAGGTTTGTCTCAAGCTTTAATGTATCCCAGGCTGACTTCAAACTCTCAGAAATCCTCAGCCTCCTAAGTGCTAGGGATTGTATGCTGTATTCTAGGATATGCTGTGCACTGTCCTGACAGCCTTGCCATCTGCTATGGACGTCTCTGTCCACTACAAACAGAGTAGCTAGATCAGTTTTGAGGATGGAAAGATTTTTCAAATTCAAGGCTAGTGCCTTGGAGTGTGTTGATTAAAAGCATTCCTTAACTCTCACCAGTAAAGTTTCCTCATACAATAGAGTGCAATGCACACAGAACTGGCCACAACTGGCTAAGTTTTCAAGAATAAGAGACTGCAGAATGCATGTCCCTGGATAAGACTCCTATATCAAACCTCACTCACCCATGCTTCAAGGACCATTGTGGAAGAATGGGGCAGAAAGATTGTAAGAGCCGGGATTGGTGCATGAACATAAGAAATAGAGGCTTTCAGGCCACTGGGAATTTGCTCATAGGAACTTTCAACAATGGTGAAGCATGCACAAGACCCATGCCATCTCAATCAGACAAAAATCCAGCACAGAATGAGGGAAATAGACCCCATCCCTAGCTGAAGAACTATTGGCAACTGATTGCTGCTGGGTGAGGGCAAGTAGATCTTCTTTAAGGGAGAGACTCTGGATATGCTGACTAGACTCCAATGGATGAACTTGCACCAAAGGACATCTGGGTGCAAATGCCTTAACACATATGACAGAATGCATGAAATCCAGTAGAGGAGGCTATAGGAGGGGTACAGATGAGGGAGAGGGTCTAAATTTGATTAAGATCTATTATATGAAATGCACAAAAACTCACTAAAAATATATTTTTTAAAAGCCTGAGTGACTTTCCAAAAATCCAATTTGGGGGTCTGTCTGATTTTGAAAACAAAACAGCATAAACTATGTAGAGCTTTAACAGTGCCTATTATAATAAATGAAGCTAAACCACAATTCTATCACTATGACGTCACATTAACAGTGCCAAGCTCCACTTGACTGGCCTTCTCGTTCCCAGTGCTCATGGTTTCAGAGGACCCTGGGAAGTCCAGTAGGCCGGGCCTTACCGGTGTTGTCCCTTCTTTTCTCTCATCATTTCTGTAGTTCATACAGGTGAATGGTGAGGACAGCAGGGGGTCATTCAGTGGAATTCTTGTCCTTTTGGTTGTGAGCCTTTAAGGGCTGCACCATCTTTCCAGCCACAGTGGAATTTTAAGCTAAAATGTTTGGTCAGAAGAATTTATAAATTTATAAATTAAATTATAATTTTATACACAAATTTATAATTTTAGTGGTTTATAAACATAATTTTAAAACCTAAATATTAAAAAAAGTATACATAGGGGCTAGAAAAATGGCTCATACACATAAAAATAAAAATAAAATTTTAAAATTCCAGCCACAGTGGAATTTTAAGCTAAAATGTTTGGTCAGAAGAATTTATAAATTTATAAATTAAATTATAATTTTATACACAAATTTATAATTTTAGTGGTTTATAAACATAATTTTAAAACCTAAATATTAAAAAAAGTATACATAGGGGCTAGAAAAATGGCTCATACACATAAAAATAAAAATAAAATTTTAAAAAGTGTGTATAATTCGAAGTTTCTGTTGCTAAGCTAAAAAGAATTCAAAAGCATTGTGAATTTTTCTGTAATCCAGGTACAGCATACTTTTATTCCTCTTTAATATGCAGCCTCTGGGACAGTAAGAGTCCCCACAGTTACAAAAGCAGTTCTCATACATCTGTTCTATTTTTCATCTGACAGAGAAACTCTTGTGCCTAGGCAACCATTCCTAGTACCAGAAGCTTAAGGCAGTGTTGGGGTCCACCATTAAATTAGATCCTGTTGGGAGTTTTGAAAACAAGAACATTTGTTCCACGGTGTTAAACAGTGCCTAGCACACAGTAGGACCCGATTATATTTTCTGTGTGAAAGGGTGAATGGAGGTATGAAGGAATAACTTGGTGATGTCTCTTTTTGTGTTCCGACTTCAGAGGCACCAAAAACTGTCCAGCCAGGTGCTGCCGCCCAGCCTTCCAGCTCACACTCTTTGCCACACATTAAGCAGCAGCTGTGGAGTGAAGAATGCTACCATGGCAAGCTGAGCAGGAGGGCAGCAGAGAGGCTTTTGGTTAAGGATGGGGACTTTTTGGTTCGAGAGAGCACATCATCTCCTGGCCAGTATGTACTGAGTGGACTACAAGGTGGCCGGGCAAAGCATCTTCTCTTGGTGGATCCTGAAGGCAAGGTATGACTGAGCTCTCCTTACACAGCACAGGAGACTGTTCATATCCAAAAGTTAGTAGTAAGAAGAGTTCAAGGCCCAAGTGTTTACTTGGTTTTCAACCATCTGGCTAGAACTAGTGCAGTGGTTAGAAAAGGAGGCTGTCCTTGAGTATGAAGCAGAAGATGGCCTCTTTCTGCTCTTGTCAGTTCAGTTCAGTTCAGTTTAATTCAGTTCAGCTCAGCTCAGTAATAATGAGTCTTTACTGTGTGGAAGGTCAGGGTTTCACTGTTTACTTATGTTCAGTATCATAAACAGTTCTTACTCTGAGGATGGCTATACATTTATAAAGTAGGTACTTAAATAATTATAATGAAAGGCCAAATGAGATAAAGATGCTTCATCTAAAGACAGAGAAGAATTCTGATGGAACCAAACTGAGAAGGCTTCTTGTAGGATCTGACATGTAAACTTTGGAAGAGAAAAAGTTTTCAAAATAGAATTCAGATTATAGAGGAGCCAGAGGAGCCGAGCAATGGAAAATTAAGATATTGGAAGACACATGACTAGAATAGACAATGTTAATGACCATAGAAAGGCAGCCTAGAGTCATCATGTGCAATGACAATATAAACCAAATGGCCTAATGTGCTACAGAGTGAAGCATTCGAAGTTTGGGGTGAATAGGGTGATGTAATCCAAGCCACAGTCAAAGATGACAGAAAAGGAATTCTAGCCCACATTCCCCAATGAAATCACTGGATTAATAATTCTGTATGGATCAAAATGCCTTTATGAGAACTCCAGAATCTAGTTAAGAATTTGTAGTATCCCAGGTGAACATCAAGCTGAGAACTGCTGTCTTGAAGTCGGTAGGAAGAGCAATTTTATTTTATTTTCAGCAGCCCCTTCCCAAGCCAGCATAGCTCAGTGCCAGGAGAAAATGTATTGGTTCTTGACTTTTCCCTTGAGGGGAATGAAGTGTGGAACCTGCATCCAATACTCTAGCTTTTACAGGACTCTTCAGGGGCGTTCTGATTTCTGGTTCACTCACATGGACTGCTGGTGGAACCAGCATAATTTAGATGTCTGGAGCGTCAGAGAACAAAGAACAAATTGTTGCTTGTGGCCACTGTTATTCCTTTACACAATCAGGAGAAAGTTCACAAGTTGATACTTCCTCCTGAGTAGGTAGAGAATGATCTGTGCATCCAACATGCTGGCTTTTTGGTGGACTGCCTAATGGTCTGGTATCTGTCTTGTCTGACTTGAATTAGCGATGGTAAGCTGTAAGAACTTGGATGCCTAGCGGTTGCTAAGAGTGAGGAAGTATGAAGTGGCTTGGTATACAGAGCAAAAGAACTCATAGAACCACAGAAAGATTTCAGAGAGAACACTGGCAAACCTTGGCAAGCCTCTATAATTGAGAAATTAGGTATACAGGCCCACAGAAGGCACACCCCTCCCCTGAGAAGGTTTTAGAGGTGTCTTTCTGGGCTACTTGGTGAGAATACTCCTATATATGAAGCTAGTCGGAAAAGCCTGGGTGAGGTGGTGATATTTCAAATGCATGGATTGCAGGACAGTTAGGACACACACAGAGCAAAAGGGAAGTATGGCTTGAACAGTGGATCCTGATAATTCTTAGGAAACTGATCCTAAAGAAGTAGAGATATATGAATTACCTGACAAAGAACTCAAAATAATCATCATGAAGATGCTTTGTGAGCTCAACAACACAATCTGTGAATAAAATTAGAAAACTAATAAAGAGAATTAAGTATAAAGGAACCAAACAATTTGGGGAGCTAAAGAATATAGTAACTGAACAGAAAAACTCACTAGATGAGCTCAGGGTTTGATCAAAGAGACATAATCAGTGAACTTGAAGACAGATTTGTCCAGAGAAAGAAATACAATAGAAAAAATAGAATTTAAAAAAGCTTGAAGAAAGCCTAAGGAATGTTAAAGACACCACCAAGTAGATCAGAATGTGTATTAATGGGAATCCAAAAATGGAAACAGAGAAAGGGTTCTAAAAGCTTATTTAAACAAATAATGGCTGAAAACTCACAAATTTGGAGTAGGAAATAGACACTGGGATCAAAAAGCTCAATGGACTCCCAGGAGGAACCTGAAGAAATTTGCACCAAGATTCATTGTGATTAAACCATCACAAGTAAAAGATAGAATTTGAAAGCAGCAAGAGAAAGCAGGTGTGTCACATACAATGGAGCTCCCCTAAGACAATGTGGATTTCTGGTAACATCCATAAGACCATCGGTAGATTTGAGATACCCAAAATACTGAAAGAAAAAAGCCTGCCAACCAAGAATACTATATCTGGCAAAACTATCCTTTAAAAATGAGGGAGATATAAAGACTCTAGATAAACAAACCTGGAGGAGTTCACGACCATGAGATCTGCTTTACAAGAAATGCTAAATGGAGTCCTTCAAAATGAAACGAAAGGACACTAATCAGCAACATGAAAGACATGGACGTGTAAAGCTCGCTGGTAAAGGTACTCTATAGATTAATACAAACTATTGTAGCATTGTAATGCTGGAACATTAAATCACTTTTAATTCTGATATACAAGTTAAAAGACAGAAGTTTAAAATATAACTGTAAAATATGTCTAAGTGTATACAATATAAAGATTGTTGATTTGTAAAAATCAATAATGAAGTGTATGCATGTAAAATACATATAAAATAAATATGAAGGGCCACATAGGGAGACGCCCTCTCTCAAAATAACAACAACAACAAAACTCCAGTAAGTTCTTCCCTTTCAATAAACAACAAAATGTCAATAGTTAAGTTCTTGCTCATCAATAGTTGCATTATTTTTTGTCCCATGGTCACTCAGGTTACATTTATTTATGTAATTCTGGGAATTTATGTGGGTTCTGGGAATCTGAACTCTGATTCTCTTGCTTGTATGATAAACACTTTAACCACTGAGCAATCTCCCAAGCCCCATTAAAAGTCATTTTATTACATAATTAGGAAAATAAAAATGACATACATGAAAAAGGATCAGAAACCATGGTAGTTTATCTACATAGTTCCTTTGAATGTAAATAGAGTAAAACCCCCAATTAAAAGCCAGAATAGCTGAGTGGATTCCTAAAAACCTTACTAGATGGTATCCACAAATGCCTCACTTTAGATTTAAGGGTACAAGCAGTCTGAAACTGAGAGAATGGAAAAACTACTTCATGAAAAACTATTTTCATTCCAAAAGAGAGCAAGAATGGTCATACTTTTATCAGAAAAAAAAGAAAACTGCCAAAGAAATCAAAGTGACATATCACTTCATCACTCAGATAAAACACTTGATAAATAAGTCAAAGAAGAAAAACATACATACGTACATGCATACATACATACATACATACATGTATACATACATATGTACTCTCAACAGCAGAGCACCTAAATATATGGAGCGAATGTTGACAGAACTTAAGGGGAAAATGGAAAGCACATGATAACACGAGATTATAGTGGCATGGTGTCACATACCTGCAATGACAGATCTTGGGAGGCTGAGGGCGGAGAACTGTAAATTTAAGGCTAGTCTAGCTAAGTAGTTCAAGGTCAGCCTATGTCACATGGTAAGACCCTGTCTCCAAAACAAAATTAGCAGGATATTTTGATGTCCCCTTTTCAATAATGAATAGAATACAAGATAGAAGCTCGATGAGGAAATAGAACTTGAACCACACTGTGAACCAAATGACTCTAATAAAGGGAAACAAAGCATCCTACCTTACAGCAGTAGAATACACAGTCTACCAAACGAACACAGCACACGGTGCCTACATGTTAGGTCACAAAGAAAGTGTTAACAGATTGAAGATTATAATCATAACAAATATCAATGGAACAAAGCTAGAACTTAATAGTAGAAGGAAAACGACAGCAAAGCAGAATAAAATGAAATAGAAAATAGAAATTTTAAAAATTATACCAAGAATTGTGGGTTTTTAAAAAGTATTTTATTATTTTTATTTTATGGGTATGAGTATATTGCCTGAATGTGTTTAAGTGCAGCCGTGTCATGGAATACCTTCAGAGGTCAGAAGAAGGCATCAGATTCCCTGGAGCTGGAGTTATGGATGGTTGTTAGCTGCTACATGGGTGCTAGGAATAATACCTTCAGAGGTCAGAAGAAGGCATCAGATTCCCTGGAGCTGGAGTTATCGATGGTTGTTAGCTGCTACATGGGTGCTAGGAATATGTGGCTGCTGGGAATCAAACCCAGGTCCTCTGCAAGAGCAGTCAATGCTCTTAATCATTGAGCCATCTCTCCAGCTCTGAATTGTGTGTGTGTGTGTGTGTGTGTTTAAGCATGAAGAAAATTGACATTTAACTTAAGATAGATAATGTAGCCCTGGCCCACAGAGCACTGAGCAGGCAGCCACTCCAGGACGTTTTCCTCAGGGCTGCCTGCCTGGCCAGTGCCTGTTGACCCAGCAAATGCTCCCTGGCAGCACCGGAAGCGCTTGCCACTCTAGCTGCCAAACAGCAGCCGGCAAAGCAGCAGGCAGCCTCAGGCTAGAGGCCTCCCCGTCCAACTCAGGGATGCTCCTGCCAGCACAGGGTCCGGCAGACATGTCCTGCCACCCTTCTCTGCTCAGGCCCCTTGTCCTTTGGGTTGGGAGTAAGGTGGGGGTGGTGAAGGCTCCACATTGTCAGCACTCAGGAATGTGAACTGGGAGAATGCGAGGCCATAATCCCTGGCTATTTCCCTTGGCTGACGCCCAGGGACTCAGATGGCCCACTCTGCAGCCAGGCTCTAGCCCTGCCACTCGACTGTGGGTGTTTGAGAAGTGGCCACTGAAGAGTATGAATGGTTCCATAGTAGTCTTGCTGTGGTTCATCTTTACCTGTAAATACATGTTCCACAGATATGAATAAATACCATCCAGACCAAAAGAAAAAGAAAACAGAGAAGACACAAACAAAATAGGAAATGAAAAAAAATGCACTAAAGTAGGTGTCATATAATTA